CCCACTTGAGCTATGGATATTCGCAAACATTACTGTAATGATTTATAGAATACATTTTGTGATAACAGCCAGACTGCAAAACTTTGTTTACATTAGTGGATCGCGCCGGTCTGAACTTTATATATAAGCATATCAGAAAATACTATCGCCCCGTGTCCCCGCTGTCACTGATAAAAGTGCTCCCTGGGGCTCCCGTCTGACCGACTTGTGTGTGTGTGTTAAGGACTGATAAGAGCCACACTCTTGAAGCTGGGGATTTGATTGGGATTTAATTATAGTCGCCAAGCACAATCTGGCATAATAATTGTTTGTACAAATAGATTTCGGGGTTATCAATGACGGAACTAGACGGAATTTGACGTTTGCGTTGGTATTAGATTGATTTTTAATGGAGTTTTGTTTTTGGTTTTGCTTTTGGTTTTTGGCAATTAAATAAGAGTGCATTTGTGGAGAGAACATATGTTTAGATATTATATTTGATTTTACTTTATATCGGGTTATTGCTCTCATATATTTGTGGGTGTATATTATTCTTTCATTATATTTTGTATAGTTATAAGCGGGCATCTATGCCCAATCGTTTGAGCAGGACTTTACCGACGTAAATTCCATTTTTCTATACCCAGACACCAAAGAATCTATTCGAATGAATCTCTAGGCACAGCTGACACTAATTTACTCTTAAGTAAACGAATATGTTATCAGTAATTGATTGTTTTTCCTCTAGCTTTTTCTATTCTAAGAAATATGGCACTCGCTTGGAGCAGCTTTTCCACTACAAAAGAACTGCCTTGAACTGTTTTCTTTGCTCTTGAGCGTTGGACAACGAACACTTTACAGCCATGGACATGTACACAATTATTTCTCACAAATATAGGACACTTTCGAAGGTTCTTTTGTCACTTCAATGATTGCTTTCAATCATTAATTTGTGTTCGTATGAGTATCCCTAGATAGCTGATATATTTTCTATGAGTTTCCGGTTTGGCGATTTTCCGCTTGGCCCACATTATTGACACTTTAGTGTTCTTCCGTCTATTCTCCACACATTTTCCCTATAGTTTATTGACCAGGGTCAACGGAAGCCAACTGTCTTGTCTGTCGCTGTCCATCCATCCCGTCTCTCATCAGCGGGGGTCGCTATTGCGTCATCATGAAAATTGCGCACAAGATTTTTTAGGGCTTTTTTTCGAATACTTAACGCGTTTAGTAAATCTACGTTTTTTGGTCGTTGATTTTATAATGCATTAAAAGGGAATAAAAAGCAGTAGTAACAGCCTTTAAAATAAAATCAGAAATTGTGCTAAAATGAATGCGGTTTCAGGGTTACCCCGCCCCAAAGGGATGACCTTTAGAGATTTGCCACAAAATACGAATACGACTACGAATACTTGTAATAAATGCAAATTCCCTTGCTAGCACAGCAGATGCCCGCCCTGCCATTACGAGTACCAGCAGTACGTATACCTACTGCCTCGACTCGTAATCAACTGCAGTTTTTTGTAGGGCTAAAAGTTCTTTTGGGGTTTTGTTTTTTGCATTTTGTTTTTTTGGACCAATGCCAGCGCACAAATGGTCTGTGTCACTGGGCCACAGACCGCCCGATGACGCTGCCACAGGGAAAAACAAAGTCGTTTTCCAAAAGAAAAAGAGTCCAAAAAGTATGTTAAACGAAAGCACTGAGAGGTGGGGTGGAACGTTTTATTGGAAAAAGTGAATGAAAGTGATTGAATTTATATTGAAATTGAGTAAAAGAGTAATGGCGAAAATATAAAAGTAATGGAAATGAATCAAATAAAACTTTATAGGTGAACTATTATATTTCAACGAACTATTCGATTCTGTTATTGATTTCTGATTGAGTGTAAAAATTGGGAAATGCTTTCGTTTTTTTGGTTAAACACATTTGAAGTGATTGGCTATAATTATTGCAAGTGTACTTTCCACATTCTGAGCTATATTTAAATGCAAATTTGTACTCGATAATTATCGCCTGAAAGACCATCCTGCTTTACCAAACAATTACAGAGCCGCAGAGAGAAAAAACCCCCAATTATTAACAAATTACGTATAAACATGAAAATCGTTTGTTCGGCCATGATTTCATTTTTTTTTTCTCTCGTTTTTTATACCCGGTATTTGAAGATTAAATAGGGTATATTGTATTTGTGCACAAAGTGAATGTATGTAACACACAGAAGGGAACGTTTCCGACCCCATAAAGTATATATATTCTTGATCAGCATCAATAGCCGAGTCGATTGAGCCATGTCTGTCTGTCCGTCCGTCTGTCCGTCCGTCTTGTTGAGCGCCTGGATCTCAGAGACCATACAAGCTAGAGCCACCAAACTGGCTCCAGACTGCTGTATGCTCACACTGTTACAATTGTATTTAAAAAATGAGCCACGCCCCCTTCCGCCCACGCAAAAGGTCGAAAACCTCCCAAATCTACAATTTTGAAGATAAAAGAAAACTAAAAACGCCATTCCGTAGGGAATGGCCATATCTATCAGATAACCAAATTGGGATCAGATTGGATCATTATTATAGCCAGAATGAAGAAATTTATTTGCAGTGGCTAAACCCACCCCGTCCCGCAGCTTATATTTGTTTTTTTCACATTCTCTCATTCACACTCTGCTTCGCGCAGACACGTCTCTGCCTCTGCCTCTGCCCTGACTCTGCAGTGTGTGGCTCTAGGGGAGGATAGGATGGCGAGCTAATGGAGCGTGTTGATGTGAGAAGTGTTGTAGATATAGATGACAGATGAAAAAAAAATGTAAAATTTGACAAAACACCGCTAAGGTGCAGATGTAGTACTGAGTGCCGGGTATAAAAGTTGCGACGCGTAAGAAGCGTCTCAGACGTTATTTTTGCCATGATAAATTCAGGCTACAAAAAAGATCTCTTTCAAGTGCCATTGAGAATACCTGCTTGCAACATTGCCACTTGGTGGTGGGTAAAGATTTTCCCAACATTCCCACCATTTATTTCGCGCTTAATTTGCAAAAGGCATAAACATTAATTTCAGCACTTCGGACGCCCCATCGTTTTTTGGCCAAAATGAATGTTGGCAGCAGAGCCACGTCATAAAATTGTTTAGCAGCTCCAACATTTGTTTACTCCTAGCAGCCATTTCCATTTCCATTGCGCGAGACAACAATGACGTTGTCAGCAGCTGTCGCTATCTATCTAAAGTATATAGTATCTTTATCTGTTGGATATCTGAATGTCAGCTCCCCTATGGCGTCAGCGGAATCGATCTATCCATACATCTATCAGTTGTTGTATCCATCCCAGATACGACTCCCCCTCCAGTGCATAACAATAAACATTTCGATTCGATTTGATTCGTTCGATTTGCTGGAATTTTTCACACTATAAAAATAAACGGTTATTGCTGTTTGCCTTCGTTTTGTTGTTTGTTATGTGTGTGGGTGCTATGGAAAATATATAGTCAGTCAGTGATCGGTAGAACAATGGAAGAACCTCTGGCAGGTGAGAAATTGCAGTTGAGTTCATCGGATGAGTTTGGAATTACAGCTCATGCCGAGCTATTTCCCCGAGAGATGATAATAACATTCTAATATGATAATAATAAAAAGAACATTACCTCCCGCCTTTAACCTCAGGCATAAGTCACGCTTTGGATATCTGTCTGTCGCGGGGTCTCCAATCTCTGCGTCTCCGTGTCTGTCATCTCTGGTTCTACTGCCTCCGGGTCTCCTATGATGTCATCATCATCGCATTTCACATTTCACTTCCTCTCAGTGCTCTACTGCCACTGTAATATTTACGTTGAAAACAAGAAAAATTGTCAGCTTTACTTCTCGTTTGGCTCTCTTTTTTTATCGTCTCTAAAGTTGAAAGCTGAAGCTGACATTTGACAGTGAAACACTTTCGTTTAAAATGCTGTCGCTGTAGTGGATGTTGGTTGTCGCCTGCCAACAGACGCGACGTCAACATCGTTTTTGGACACTGGCGATAGCTTGGAAATGTTATTGCTTCCATTGGTTCATGGGCCATGGGGGAACCCATGGGCGTGTGCTGGAATAATGTAACAGATATACGCAGGCACACGACTATATATTTTATTTATATGTGTCTACAATAGAAACTCATTTATTACATTTCTGATAAGTCGTAGAGAGAAGCTAAGCGCCGTAGCTTCAGTTTACTTTTGCCTTTAGAAGCGGCAACACGAAAGTTTTCATTCATTCATTTTCATGTATTTGTAAAGTAATTTCTGTAAAAGGGGGTAAGGGAATGGAATGCGAAATTATTTATGGGTGCGCTCTAACTTGTAATTCGAGACACCTTAAACAATTCAAATGCAACATAAAATAAATTCATGGTGTTTGAAAAATCTCTTGCACACTCGTAAAAGAAATACAAATTTCACGTAAATAAACTATTCATAATCCTTCAATTGAAAAATATGTTTAGTAAACATTTTAAAGGACTTTTAAGTCATAACTTAAAACAATTAAGCTTCTGCAGCTGTGACTAAAGAAAAGGTTAGAAGTATTCATAAAAAAGGAAGCTTCCTGAAAGAGTACGATTTCCTTTACGAGTACTCTCTACACCGCACTCAAGGCATATAGCAACCATCTATTATAAATGTGCGATGGTAAGCTCTTTCCCTTGCCAAAAACAGTTTCCTCCGACGAAGCTTTAAATCAAAATGAAAATAAAAACCCATAAAAGGAGTTGCAAAATGTTTATAGCTTGCTTTTGGGCGGTGGCGCAACAATTTTTGATGCCCAAGCTCCTTGGGTCATTTGTTGCGCAATTTTATACTCAAGTATGTTTTATTTTTGCTGCACTTTAGCTTTGATTGAAAATGTAGGTCAGGACTTGGCTGCAGCCTTTGATATTTTTTCTTTCATTTAAAGTGCTTTACGTTTTTTTTCAGCATTTCTGAGGAACAACCATTTTTTAATGATGACACTAACTTTACGTGTAGCCTCTGATTCGTATCTCTTTCTCTCTTGTTACAGTGTTGGCCTTTCGTGCAGACGACTGACTTTTAGTGGGGCCTGATAATGCGGGTAAGTTGACACAATTACCCGTACTCTCGGTACTCCCGGGGCTAGGCGCCAGGTGCAATGGCACTCTGGAGGCGTAACCTCATTAACACTTCAGCGACACATCCTTCTCCATGAGAGATGTAGGGTGCTAAACACAGAAGCAGAAGTAGAGAAAATAGTATGAACGGGGTCGTAGGTTTTAATTAAAGAACGAAGTGATTGATGCCCTTTAAAATTTCGTTTTCATTTTATACAGAACTAAAAAACAGTAACAGTAAAAACAGTTGGGATTGATCTATATTTATCTAGATATTTTAATCGATTCTGGGTAAATGTGGTAAAGACGAAGTTTAATTTAGCGTAGAAATCCTTGAGAAGAATGACTTGAAAATTACTTGAAGATACTGAAGCAGGAGATGATCTTTGGATCACTTATTACCATAGAAATAAATTTTTGTTGATTTCTTTGGCTTACAACCAAATGATTCACCGAATAAAACTCTCATTTGAAGGGTATAAAAAGTTGTGGGGAAAATTAAGTTTGCACTCTTAATGACGGCGACGACGCCGACAACAAGCTGCTATCTGTCGCGAGAGCCGTATGCGAGTGAGAGCCAAATGATAGAGTGAGTCTGTGGCTGTTGCCTGTGGGTGAGTGATGGAGAGAGTACGCCTCCGCTGTCAGGTGGTTTATCATCGTTGCAGAACAGCCCTAATGAGTTGGCGGTGGGTGGGTTGGTGCTGTCTGTCGACTAATGGCCACAAAGTTATATAATCAAATGAAAGATGAAGGCGTTCGCCCGTCCATGAGGATAAACTTTCTATACCATGTGCATGTAATAAAAGTTTCCGCTCTCTCCCCCCTATCTCTCAGAGCACTCTCTCTTAATTGGAGGCTGTATAACGAAGTACAGTTGACCCTGAAGTGCAATAGGAGCCGCAGCTCCTTAAAGTTCCATTGCCTACATTCAAGGGTAAACCTCCTTGCTCTTTATGGTAACCTTTTCTTTGGAGTGGACGTCACTGTATAAAAATAAAATAATATTATTGCCTGTGGCACCCAAAAGGCCATAGGTTTATTGATATAACCTCCCACGGGAGAAAAGGTCGTGACGTGCAAAGCTCTCATGCTAAAATGTGTCGAAACGTTGAGCGAGCGAGAAAAAGCGAGAGTGAGAGCTAGACAGTGGGTGTTCGAACTGCATTGGCAATTTTCGCTCTCTTTTCTTTCTGTTTGAAGTAAACTTGCCTTTAAAATGGGGTTTCTTTAGCACTGCTGTTGCTGCTGCTGCTTGTTGGCTTCTGCAACACTTGGCTTCAAGGTCAATGTCTCGCGACAACTTGGGACTCAAGTCTCGTCTTGTTTTCGTCTCTCCCCTAGCTCCTCTTTGTGTCCCTTCTCTTCGTGGTGTCTGCTATCAACGTCTGCGTCTGTTTTGTACCACAGTTGCACAATGGGGCATTTTGGCCCTTTTTGTGGCAAAAATTAATAACTTCCAAATCAAAAAATATCTCAAGTACCTCAAATTTATCATAATTGTGCGATTGTACACAAATTTAGAGAATCTGCGTATTTTATTGTCCGTGAAAAGTTTCAAAATACCCGAAAAAATGTAAAAAAAATGTTTCTGAGAGGGTCTTCAAATAACCCTAATTCTTCTCAAGACTAATCAAAGGTATTTTAAATAGCTGGTTGATTTTTGATTGTTCACAGCAAAGAGCTGACTATTCATTTTTGGGTACGTAAAATGAAAGACTTCTTGTGTTATTCTTATGTGTATTGGTTAAAAAATATTATTTGATCGACATTTGAAAAATTAGTTTTGGCCAGAAAAGGTGGTAAAATTCCCCATAGTGAGATGGAACGAAGAAATCACTCAACGGGCAGCCCGTTTTTCAATCAAGACACGTGTTTGGCCCTTTAGCTTGAACTTCGGCTGTGTTGTGGGGTGGATTTGGGAATTCGAATTTGAAAACCTGACAAAGTTAGAAAATTGTGATTGAAGCCAATTTACAGAAGTTCACAAGAGTGAAGGAAGTTTATTTTCTGGAAATTGAGATGATTGTTTGAAGATTATTTTGGGTAGGAGTCTAGCATTCATAGGTTTTACAGTATAAAGGGGATGATGGAAGGAGTATTGGATCACGGAAAGAGTCTTAGTTCAGAGACCTCAAGGGAACCTTTAAAGGAATTTATGATACATTCATAGGATCTAAAAAATAGCTACCCGTAAATTGTAGCTTTAAATGTTTTTGAAAATATTTTCCAATAACTAAGCTAATTTTTCAATAAACAAAAAGGCACAAAATGTGTGAATTGACATGAAATCCGTTCCCATTTCCTGCTTTTTCAGAGAATCTCCACATATTTCGTTTCATCTGCCACTTCATTTATTTGCCAATTTACGATTATGTTTGCACTTTGCATTGATGAAGCATCGACGGGTAGGGTAGGCCCTGTGTGTGCACAGTACTTATCGCTGGTGCCGTTATGTTCTATAGGCGCCCCCCAACAGAGCTTATCTTTATGGACGCAGTCACTCACTCACTCAACCGACAGTTTGGTCGGGTCGGCAATCGGGCGTCGGGAGATTGGGAGAGTGGGAGACTGACCTCGTGGCTTTTGGCATTTCGTGTGCTGCCATATGTTAAGGCTACCCACCAGCAGCCATCTCTCGCTCTCTCACTCTTCGATCCGATCAGAGCCAAAGTGAACTACATAAGTCTCCGTTCTTTACACATCATTAGAGTTTAAATATTTTCGGCGGCCACTGCGAGAGGGAGCGTGAAAGGCTTTTGGGAGATCACCCATAAAAAAAATAGTGATAGAGAGAGAGGAAAGAGAAGCCAGCGATAGGCAGAATGCAAAAGCATTGCGACATATGTGCAACAGCTGCAGCAATACGTGAATCGAGCAATCGAGAATCAAGAATCGGGTAACGGAAACACTACTCAAACGCGACGATAGAGAGGGTGGGATGAGGAATGTGGGAATGGAACTGCTAAAAGATCAAGATGGGAACAAGTGTAAAAATTTGGGACACCCGCTACTCTTATGAATTTGATGTTGAATGGAGTGAGTAAGATATTTCAATGAGAAGAAGAAACTAGGCTTACTTGAACTTTTCTTGTAGTTTTGTCTATTATTATTTTATGTAAGTAGTTTGTTGGGTAGGTATTACCTCAATATTTATGTGTCTGCTGAACATGAGCCAAAAAGCTTCAAAATTGTGAAATCCATAGCATTTATACGATTAAAAATACTTCTTTTAAAAGATACTTCTTTAAATAAAACCTTGAACTCCACAAGTACAAGTACAAGCATGACCGATATCTACACACCGATAAGAGACTTGTCAATTTATATTACGACTAAATTTATTAAATGTTATTGATGATGAACAGACTTATCAAAGTTAAGTTATCAAGTTAAAATTAAAAGATAGCCACGTAAATTCCAATGTCAGCCCTCGCTGAACCCCACAGACAGCACTACGGACTGCCTCATTTGCTTCTTTTTTGCCGGCTGCTTGACAATTTCAGATGTCAGATGTCTGCTTATCAAATTGTCGCATCTAACGGTGGGTAGGTGAGAGGATGGGACTAGGGACGGGGGACTGATTAGTGCCACAGACACCAACATTGTCTGGAGCTTGATTTAAAACATACAAGCTTCACATCTCATTATGCATCTGGTGGAATTAATTGTGTGAATTGTAGTGTGTGCCTGCCTGTTCATGGACTTGGCCTCCAAGCAGACGTTGCGACGATTGCGCCCCCCCACATTCGAATTAGCTGTTTAGATGAGAAAGCCAGGGGGAAAAGCGCACTGCAATGCAATGTAATTACCAGGCAAATGCCAAAGATACATCCCACATATGTGTGTGTCTGTGGTGCACTCGTACACATATGTACGTATGTATGTAGAAGTTCGTATGCTGTAATAGCTAGTGCCAAAGATAGTTGGCAATTAAGGGATCTTACTATGGGAAAGCATTACACACTAGACAGACAAGACATTGCACACGGAAATTTGTCGAGTCATTGGGACAGGGGGGAAATCATTCTGGGAACGGTCTAATTAGTGGCAGTAACAGTATTTACCTACACGATTGGCATTTACGGTTAGATTTACGGAGGTAGATCTTGGAATTTATTTAAAAGCCATTAGGATTAAAGCTTTCAAAGAAACACAATAAATGTGGGTATGATGATTTAAAATTTGCAGTAATATCAAGGAATATGCCTTAATGAATATCAAGTTTTAAACAACTTTTTTCTTTTTCTGCTCAAATCTTCTTACAGCGAGAAATCTCTTCCAATAAAATATTGAACTCTTGCGTATCACAACTTGTTTTTCTCCTCTGGCTAATTAAATGACTTTTTCTGCCACGATATTCACAACTTATTGAACTGAACTCTTAATTTGCCTAATTGCAACAAATATCGCTGCTTTGCATTGAATGGAAAACTCAAATGTTTTCATTCGAACATTCCCCACCCACCCACGGATAGACTCGACTCGTTTTGTTTATAGTCCGACTGTCATCGACTGGCGCCAGCTGTTTGTTTTTTTTCAGTGCTTTGTTGTTGTTTGTTCTTTTGCCAACTTTTGCAATGCGATGCCAAGAGTCGCACCCAAGATGTATTTTGTTTTCCTGTTCTTATTTGCATTTGTTGCATATTTTGCAAGAAAGTATTTCTTAAATTCTCTCTCTCGCTCTTTCCGGCCCTCTCTCTATTTTTCTTTCCTTATAAATTTGCATAAAGTAGTTTTTGATGCTGCGTCATTGTTAATAAATAAAATGCCCGCCACAACCGTGTCTTGCCACCTTGTCCCCTAAAATGTTGTGTTTTCGTTTTGTGCCAAGGTAAAGGTCAATGTGACATAATCAAAGCTGTTTGGGTTGTTTTTCTTTTGATTAATTTACGTGTTGTGTTCCCTTCCCCCTAATGCACTGGCTAATTGACACTTGGAGAATGGTTTAATCAAATTTGATTGAGGAACAATTTGGCAATTAAAGTAGTGGAAACTTTTCTCATCATCATCGAAAAAGAGTCCCTGGGGGAAAGAAAGTCTAGTGAAAAGCAGAAAGAACTCATTAAAACGGATCCCCCAACCCCCCCACGCACTTGACTTTAATGAAAAGGATATTAAGAGGAGAGGAGAGACCCTTAACAATGTTGCAAGTTTTACGCGTAGTTTGCCAAGGGAGTGTCTGTCCTCTGAAATCCACTGGTCTCGTGATTGCCTTTTCGTGCAGAGGGTAGCCAGAAGGGACGTGGATTGTAAGGATTTTACAAGTCCGTTTCCAAAAAGGGAGTGGGACTGTAAGTCTGTTAGTCAGTTAGTGGGTCAGTCTGTGGCTTTACGTGTCAGCGAGCAATCCCTTTTAGCTTTTTGGTTGCACGCGGAGTTGAGCCTCAAGTTTCCCTTCGCTCAACCGCATGTCCACTGCTTCGCTCCCCTTCAACTGTTTCAGTTTCAGTTTAAACTCAGGATTACTTTTGGGTGCGGCACTAACCCCCCCCCCCCCCCCCCCCCCCCCCCCCCCCCCCCCCCACACAAAAAAAGAGAGGGAAAAATCTACTAAAATAACATTTCCCAGTGATTTTTGTGTTACTTTTGGTACGATATGAACGATATCCAGTGTCCAGTGGCATAATCCCCCTGAGGGCATAAGTGGGTTAATGGTTTTCTGTGTGTATTTTCTGATTGGTTTTGGCCATGTTTGTGTTGGCCATTGGTGCGGCTAATGTGGGTAATGGACATAATTGGCGTGACGGGGATTTCAGTGTGTCTGTGTGTGCATTACGGACAGTGTGGTTATGACAAATCACTTAGCAAATCTGGCAATAAATGAAGGAATGAAGGACGAGCGATAGGCAGGGATTATGGGAAGAAGATTATAGCTATTGGCGCTTTCCACTGAATCGATAAGTGCTGCAACCCAATTTGGAGGTTCTTCAAGTCCTTCCATCACTAAATGCCTCCTAAAATGGTTCATTGAATTCTGAAGCTCATGACGGCTCCCCCAGCGCCCGTGCTCTTATTATGGCAGTCATCAAAAGCCATAAATCACTTCTTGAATAATCAATTGTTTATTAATTTTCCTCCTGCTGTGGCAGGCGCCTAAAAATATGCCGCGTGAAGGCATTTGTACATTTTTCGGTCCGCTTTGGCACAAGGACATAATACCAGTCAATCATTTTATCTAATGTTAATATCTGGAATAGTACCTATAATTGAGCTGCGAAAACACTTTAATAATTCAAAAGACCAACACACGCAATGGGTGGAACAGGACTTCCATTTCCCCAGCATTTCTTGGCACTTGGATGCAAATATTTACTTGTATAATTTGCTATATAATTCTGAATGGATTTTTCGACGCGTTTCTCATGATTTAAACACGCAAATCGGTGACGCATTACTCAGCCATCATGGGGTTTTTCTCTGTCTCTTTGTCTGGGCGATTATTTCTAGATACCACAACCATCTTTGTGCTGTTTGCTGTTTGCATTCTGCTTCATCTCAAGCTCTCTGCAACATTTTTTTCGCTTTTAGACTGATGACTAATCTGCTGTTTCTGTTAGCTGTGCGATTCTGGGAATTCTCGGATTGTCTCTCAATATATTCGCACTTCTCAATTAAATATATGCAATCAGGTTGGGTTCATTCTTTAAATGAATTCAGTCAATTTGTTGAATGATCAAAGTAACATCCAAGCGAGGGAATATCGAAATTTATACATATTTGATTGAGGTCTTTATGCATAGTTGCATAAAATATAGTATTCAGATCGGGGTTACGGAAATTCAATCTGTGTTGTGCCCAAAATATACCATAAAAGTATTTGAAAAATTACTTATGTTTGCCGGAATTTATAATAAACAAATATTTGAATGTATTTATAACACACAGCCAGCCATACACACACTTCAGTTAATTTAAAACTCAAACCTTTTACTGATTTTAATATTTTATTTCGTTTTTTTTTTGTGTGTGTTATTTCTTTCTGCAGTTGGTAGCCCAGCAGCAGCACCGCCAAAACCAACACCACCCCACGTCAACCCTGAAAATCGCAAGCATGTAAGCAGCCGGAAAACAGGGAAAAACGCTGATAAGAAAACTAAAGAATATAAAAAAAGATAAAACAAATAAACTAAAAAAGCAAAGCAAACTCAAAACTCACCAAAAACACACACAGAGTAATCGTGAAAAGTTTCCGAGTGAAAAAACACATAGGGGAAAACAGTTTTAGAGGAAAAACCCCAAGGGCCAAGTGCAGAGGCGGTGCCTGGCAACCGCCTTAAAGGTTTTCAACCATTTGGAGACGCAGCAGTGAAAGGCCACGGATTATTGGAAGGGAACTGAATGACACTACTCGGGCCTAGCGCCCCTGGCATGGCCTTTATGATGAAAAAGAAGAAGTACAAGTTCAATGTGGAAGTGCAGCTGCAGGATTTAGTTGAGGTTGCCCTCGTCAACGAGGTGCTTTTTGCAAAGATACGTCTACTGGATGGCGGTTCATTTCAGGAGTACAGCAGTCGGTAAGACCCATACAATACACGTACACATCTAGAATTTACTTTACACTAAATGTCTTTAATGCTTCAGAGAGGAAGTGAAAAATCATCGCGTGGAATGGAATCGCAGCTTTGAGTTTCCCTGCAAAATGAGCGCAAATGCCTCGACGGGTGTACTGGATCCGTGCTTTTTGCGCATCTCCATACGAAAGGAGATGAAAGGCGGTCGCAGTTACTATAAGTTAGGTTTTATCGACCTCAATCTTGCCGAATTTGCTGGCGCTGGCCTCACATCGCGTCGCTTTCTCCTCGAGGGCTATGATTCGCGTCATCGTCTCGACAATTCCATGCTAAGAGTAAGCATCAAAATGCATATGCTAAGCGGTGATATACTCTTCAAGGCGTAAGTGGTTCGACATCATCTTAGAATTCCTTTTTGAAATGTAATTTTCTTTATACCAGACCCACCCCGAGTCTAAAAAGCAAACAGACGAAGCCCTCCATGGATGATCTAACGAATGCCGCCACTGGAGTGGGTCTGCAAACGCCTACTGCTACGGCGTTGCCCAGCATCGGCAGTGGGAGTGGCGGCAATGCCATTCCCCTGGGCGGCAGTGGTGCCACACTGGGTGGAGTTTCCAGCAATCAGTCGCTGCCTGGAACGCGACCCGTGTCGGGCACAAAGGAGGAGGGTAAGACTTACCTCTAAACATAATAGATTGAAGCTTTATATTTTGGTTTATTCGTTTTCAGAGCTCGACCCGCAAGCTCTGATAGCGGCCATTGTGACGGACTCTGGCCTGTCGGAGTCCTCGGAGTCGGCGGTGACGCTTACCACGGATAATCTGCAGCAGCATGCCGCTGCGGCTGCCTCCAATGCCATCACACCGTTGCCACATGCCCTCACAGGACTGGGGATCATTGGTAGCAATAATTATGGCACCACAGGAGTCTCGGGAGTAGGCGGTGGCGTCGGCAGCGGTGTCGGCGGCGGTAATGCAGTCAACACTGCCGCCCTAATGGAAATGGGTCATTCGAGGAATTCCAGTAATACTAGTCAAGTGAGTGGCGGCATGGAATATATTGCACCCAGTGGGCCAATTAACCAATATGTTTGTTTACTCCTCCTCCTCACTCGTCCGTTTTGCCATCCAGATGTCAAAGGGTTCGGGTTATAGTAGTTTTTCGCACAGTCAACATTCGAGGCAAAGTTCCGAGGGCGATTCGGGGCATGCTAGGTAAGTTGATCAACTCTGGAAATATCCCTGGAGTATCCCTTACATTCTCTGCTATAAAGTGTACAAAGGCCTACGACTTCATTTCTTTGTATACCTTTTTTTTACCTAATTTGATTTATTTTGCCTACGATTCGTGTACTCTTTCTACCAAAATCTGCTCTCTAATCTGTAAACTATATATATATGCGCTATATAAATGCTAAAGCCTACAGCTTAGTCTCTCCCTCTCTATCCATCTATCTCTCTCTCTCTCTCTCTCTGTACAAAACTGTGTCTAAAACCAACAAAACTCGCTCCCTTTTTAACCCAAGCGTTAAGTCTAAGGACTTGTTTTTGAGTCTCTAACCAAATTGCACGTTCAATGTGTACTAAAAAAAACAAAAACATATTGGAACAACAACTTTAACACACACACACACAAAAACACATAAACTTACACTAAGATATTATTTTAGTTGAATTTTTCCAAAATTATTTTATTCATTTATTCTTTAGATTTTAGTTCAGTTTTAGTATTTAATTTAGATATGAATTATTTCTTTGAATACTGTCATTAGTTTGATTAGACGTTCGGTTCTTTATACATTAAGTTAGTTTAGGTACAGCTCTAAGATGTAATTTTAAAGTGCTACAAATAGGATTATTATCTATTCTATTCACTGGTTTTCCCCTGAACATTATTCGTTTAATTTACAAAAGTATATGCAGAATTCATAGTTATCAATTTGGGCCTCGAAAGTGACGCTGTGAATGTTTCATTTGTTTTTAGTCCATCTATCAACCGTTCATGTTGTCGAAGGTAAAGTTAGATAAAGATAAATATAAGTAAAAGTAATATGTAATGTAGATGAGTTCATTCAAGTAAGAGCGCCCTAAAATGTTGTCGAATATTGCAAATGTGATCTTTTGATCTATCACAACGTCTTCTATTAGGAGTATATTTCAACTTTCTTTACCATTTTCATGCATTTCTCTAACAGATGCAAACTAAAATTCTTCCGAAGAACTTTGATTTTCTTAAAATTCGTACCTGTTTTTCGCTTTTAAGCTTTAAATTCACTCACAAAGTAGAGTAAATAGTGGAAAGACTTTCTAAACAAAAATGCAAGCAAATATCTTCTACCCATGACCATATCCCCTTAGCTTAGCAATAATTCATTCAAAAATCCCTAAAAAAAAAAACGTAACCCTACGGAGGAGGTTAAACCTTCACGTCAGCGATCCTAACTGACAGTTTCATTATAAAGTGGAGGTTATCTGCACTCCACACTCGGCAGCAGGTCTGTCTTCCGTCTGAAGATATTTCCCTTCAATTATGTTATGCAAATTTCTAGTTAGTAAATGTGCCGCCACGAGCCATTGTGCTGTGGATGCGGGATGCTGTACTGCTGCAACAACAAATTTCCCATGGCAAAAGTTTAAGGTCAAACGACGGCAAGTGCATGCAAACTCGTGTATGGCAAGAGCGTTCTAATATCCTTTGTGCCTTCCGTGACCAGACTGGTTGGCTGCTGGCTGACTGGCTGGCTGGCTGCTGTTCCCCGCCACTATGCCTCGTGTGGCAGATAGAATGTGCATGTTGGCTGCATTTCAAAAGTGCTGCATGTTGTCTGTGATTAGCGTTAGGGTTGGGTTGGACTGTGGGGTCGGTTGGGTACACACAATATGAGCATTTTTGAGCGAAAGCATTGTTTTTCGCTAAAATATGAAGCTCTGATGACTTCATCAAAGGTTGCCTGCCCCTGAGATTTGTGGCTTTTGGCCTTTACACAAAAGTTGTGTGTGCCACACACAAGCTTGAGCTAAGTAAAGCAGGAGAGCATTATTTGTAAAGTGGGAAATTTGGTGAAAATTAGGATTAAAAGACCCATACTTTATTCAACCTGCTTTTAATGGTTTTTCATTCCATTCGCACATTTAGGTCTGTGGTTAATGCTGTAATAATTTATATTTTAAAACCCTAACTTAGTTGTAAGAAAATTAACTTAAATTCATGCAGTAATAACGGTTAAGGTCATACATTTAATCCCATGGCTGGTTTTTTTCTGCCCCCCTTTAATCTGGTTTTATGGTAGCTCTTATAATTTATTTATTTTTATTGGTACTAATATAATTTTTAATTAATTTGTTGGCTAAATTGTTTTAACACCAATTTTTGTTTCTCTTTCTTTTTCTTAAACAAAAAATACTATATATATTTTGTATATAAAAACTAATATGGGGAAATGGAAAAAAATAAATACAAAAACTAACCAAATGCAATAAATGCCTTAAAAAAATACAATTATCTGTAAAAATCGAATTAAAAAAAAAAACGAATCAACGAATCATCGTCCAAATGCAAAAATCAACAACAAACTATAGTCGTTTTAGAAAATCCGTTTCTCTACTCAATAGACTCAATCAGAGGGCAATAAATGCCATGAAATTGAATATACCACATGGTCGGAAATGTCACGAAAAGGAGAAGCAGCAGCAGCAGCAGAAGGAGCAACAACCAAAAGTATTGGGCCTTGTGGCTCCAGTCAGCCATCAGCATGTGCACCACAGCACGACCCACCTGAGCCTCACCACCACCATTGAGTATGTGAGCGAGGAGCAGTTGTATTCGACACCAAATGCCACCATGAGCACTGGCAATACTCTGCAATTTGAGGACTTTCACACACCAATGGCCGAGGTGCCGACTGTGGAGCCACAGTTCCTGCCGGTAGCGACGACCACAACACAGTATTACGACAGCGGCGAGGCCAGCGACACGGATGAGTACATGAATGAGGACTCGGGTGACAATGATTCGGGCCTGGAGGAGAACTACCACACTCCGCGAGTGGCCAAGATCAAGTCCATGGAAAATCTGTCGATATTGGAAATGGAGTTCCACAAGGCCTCGATGGAACTGGATCGGAACTCACCGCGACGGCTCAAGCAGTTGGCGGAGCACGCCAAGATACCCAAGATGAAGTCGCTGAATAATCTTTGCTTCGACGACTACTCGGAGCAGGATGTGCGCGAAGAGTTCCAGCGTATCCATGATCAGTCGCTGGAGGAGCGACTGCGCTTCCAGCAGCATCACCATTTCGGTACGGGGCTGCGCAAGAACTCCACCACCTCGAATGGATCCTCGGGGAAGCTGTATGTGAAGCATCAGACGCACCTGAACCATCACATCAAGGTGGGCAATGCCAAGTTCATCGGACAGGATGGCAATGATAGTCCACAGAGTCCGCATTATCCCATACAGAAGATGCGATCGATGGGCACCATTCCAGATGTTGTAAGCGAACGCATCGAAGCGGATCCTTTCCTCACGCCCACCACTGAAAGAAAACCCAGCTTCCCGCGCCTGATCCAATCGGCCGAGAAGCCAGCCCTGGGCTCTAGCTATGTGAATCGGCTGCTCAACTACGACGTGGTGGACTCCCCAGCGGAACTGTTGGCCAACTCGGTGTCCTTTATGTCGCGCACACCCTTCGAGCGGGCCTATCGGCGTAACATACTGCAGGGCACTTCCTCGACCCCGCTGGCCACACAGGAGACCTACATCGTTCGGCCACATTCCACGAATGCTGCCTATGAGCTAATGAGGTTCGTCGCGCTTTTATTTTCATTTCAACAATCAAACAAAGATCATCCAACTAGCAAGCAGAATGGGTTACTCGTTACTCGTTGACAGTTAATCGTTACTCGTTACTCGTTACTCGTTAGACTCCTAGACTGTGTTCTTGAATGTTTAGAAAAATGCCAGCAGACCGTTTCTCTAGCGTCATTGTTCCTCGTCCTGGTCCACCGCCTACACACAGCCGTTGCTCTCGTTTCCATTTAACATGCGATTATTCACATATATATTTTCGTTACTCGTTACACCTTTATTTCGTTACTCGTTACTCTTAAATTTCGTTTTGTTTTTCGTTCTGTTTTCGTTTCGTTTCGTTCAAACGTTTATACTAATAATTTAGAAAGTACTTCTATGGGTCTTAAGTCTTAAAAGCCTTTAAGGTAGACATAAGTTTAATATAACGATTATAACATATTTAAATGCCATTTTGGGACCCCGAACCTTGTACAGTATTATGTTTTTATAGAGAATTGGTTTCTAAACACACTCCTCCTCTCTTACTTACCCTCTCCCTTGGTGAAATTAATGATCTAATCAACACAGAAGAACACAATACCCTAACAGTTCCGATCTAAAATATAAGGGATTTAAGAAATTTCACTAAAAAGCACTCAAAAGAGCATTCAAACAAAAAGCATTTGCCGTAAAGTAATTAAATGGTGTGTAAACTAGTTAGCCTTACCTGCAAAATGGCCTTCTACCCGCATCCTCTGGCATTCTAACCCCGCCCACGAGAACATGGACAAGCCCTTGAGGTCACCAGCAGCCAGAGCCTGAGTGAAATAGAATCTGGGACAAGGATGTGGCCCAAGTGCAGGGCCACCTGAACGCAGAGAGGCGTTACGCCCCCTCTGTGATGTTGGCTATTTGTATGAAATTTTTATGAATTTTGTGCGACCCTCTATGGTCTGTTCTTCTCTCAGATTTCCCCCAATTTAAAATTCAATTTGAGGCGAATCTCTGATAAATTTGCATAGAGAATCAGCTCCAGAGAGCTCAAAGTAGAGCATGGAGCATAAAGCGTAGAGCAGGAATGCGGGGTGTAGGTGCTTATAAATTGTCAGGGCCTGGCCTTTAAATGCTCTGGGTCCGACAGTTTTGGTCTCCGTCTATTTGAAGTGGGCAACAGCGTTCATGGGCGACAGGTCAGGGTTATATCAATGAGAGATAGATGTGCGTGTGTGTGTGTGTGTGTGTGACTGTAGGGGCATGCTGCTGTCGCGTGTCCACTCGGGTTTCATGTCGTAATGGATGAAATAAATAATGAAATTGATGGGAAATACATCTCAAATTGTTTTAATTGTAGAATAAGATGAATTTATATTTGTCGCTTGAGCATTAAGACTGATATAAGGGAGTTCTTGGTGGGGTGTCTTTATTGAAATTAAAATGAACTGAGGTTTTTTTTTTTTTAAATTTCTCATTTGTTTACTTATATGTAAATTATTTTTCGTTTACTTTTTGTTTATGTATATCTTCAAACACATACACAGCCACAAAAATATCCGAAACACCTACTATATATCGAATCAGTATCTATATCGAATATCCCTACCAAAAGACATGCTCTTATCATATATAAAACGCATAAATCAAAATCTAAAGCTTCTAAACTTTATAGAAGATATTGTTATATATATCAACCAATAATTTGGTTACTCTTTTTTAAGTTGTTTTTAAGTTTTTCCAACCGAAAAAATATGTTTTTATTTTGTCAAGATAATTTGTATGTTAAAATGTGTGTCTAAAACGAATATTCGACCGAATGCAGAAGCTTCAGTGGAGTTCCTCGTCGCCTCTTCGATGGCAACAACAGCAACAGCAGCAGTGGAGGCGGCGGCGGTGGTAACAATTGCCAGAACAGCAACAACATTGCCACCATTTCTGGGAGCGGCAGCAACAGGCAGCAGCAGCAGCAGCAGGCTGGCGGCAATACTAGCACTTGCTATGTCCTGGGCTCCAATTGTTCACCGTGTGGCACACTGGCAAGCATACATTCCAATCACTCGGCATCCTCGTCGAATGGCAGCAACAGCAACAGCAGCAGCAGCGGCGCAGTCATCACTTTCCAGTGCAACTCGAGCTGCGGCCAGGACACTGTGGACGGCCCGGCATCCTACTCCCCACAGCAGCAGCAGCAGCACCAACAGATGAGCGTGGGATCCCCCAATGGCCATGGCAGTAGTCCGCGGCTGGGCAACGTCATGTCTGGGGATGCACTCAGTTCGTTGGCCGCCAGTCCCACAGATGCGTGCAGCATACGCTCCAATCCATCGGCGGCCTCGCTGCTGCTATCCACCTCTGCGGCGGCTGCCGAGGCCTCCGCCATGGCCTCGGCCACCACGATGTCTATGTCGGGCGCAACGCTATCGCCGCTGGCCACCACACAGATAATACGCCGCCCCAGCATCACCATGATGTGGGTTCACATTCGATCTATGGCTGCTTAGTGGCCTTTGCATAATGTTAGCTTTTAAGTTGTTGTAAATCCTACTCCTGAGTTGTTGCACTCCTCCCAGCAGTGCATTTTCCACATATAGTTCATATATTATATTCTTTTAGGAAGGATACATGATGTGTTCTGTGTGTGTAAAATGTGCAGTCGATAGTTCCAGATTATTCACTTTTTTATGTGTCTATGCTAGTTGTTCAAGTTTTACTACAATTTTTATATATGAATGTAGATCCCTCTATGTATTTGTGGGCATTTTAGATTAAATTTTCATTGAAAAATTGTATCTATTATTTAAGAATTGCTTTAAATATTGTGTAATAGAAGTCCAACTAGATGTTTTTGCACTTGTATCATACGTTCAAGTTCATTTTAACCATAAACTTCCATAATTTTCATAATTTCTATGATTTATTCATACCTATAATTTCCCAATTTTGATTTCGCTTCATTTTCCCAAAAGTGTTTTCCATATTATATCAAACATTCTTAAGGCTTGTTTCAATCATTATTCGTTCCGTATGATATACATTTATGAACCCAGTTATTTTTGATCTATTTTGGATTGGACTTTGCATCACTTTGTTGGCACTGTCTGTCGTTTCATGATATTCAGCAATAAAAAGAGATATATATATATATATTCAAGCATGATATATGTATGATATGATGACCCAATGGAGTGTCTACATTTTGTACTGTTCTGCCACGTTATTCTGCCTGTTCTTCTGTTTATTTTAGTTACCGCAACTGCCAAATAGAGCACTGAATTTTAATTATTTACGCTTAAGTTTGTTTTATTTAAAGACCCAAATTAACCTTTGTCATCTCTTGCTTTGTTTCTACAGGAATCCCAGTTCCGGCTCGTTAGTTATAAGTGAAACAGGATCTCTAGATCGCTCGAAAAGTAGCGGCGAGAAGCGCAAAAAGGGGGCACTGGATGATGGGCCCCGCGTTTCGGATCGTGTGGAGGAGACGCGCGTAAATCCCGACTCATTGATCGATGAGATATTGAAGGATACAAAACTGGATCAGCTGGAGGAGTCGGCAGAGAGTGAGTTGTCATAAGAATATATTAATAATTCGTTTTGGTATTAATTTGAATACATGTTTTGCCCCTGCAGCTTCTGGCCTTCAGCTGTACATTGCGCGGGATGGCACCGCCTCACTGGGCGGACACGAGGTGAAGTCCAGTGTCCGGGCGGGTGCCCTCAAGCAGGTGGTCATGCAGGATAGAAGATAGTAGCGTCCCTGTTTTGTAAAATGTATTAGAAGACTAACTAAGCAAGCAGAAAGTAAACCATAACTAAATGTACTAGGCTAAGAAGTGTGCAAAAATACGTTTACTTGCAACCTAAAAGTGAGAATAATATGTATGCAATATATACGCTATATATATGTGGGTATATGATAAATGTTTATGTCATGTCAAAACACTACACTACACTACTATTGAATGTAATTATCTATAGCCATATATGTATGCCCATATATACAATACGATACGATACAAGTGGAGTGTCCAGTCACTCCCCTTCAACCCACGTTTCAAAAAGTTGTTGTGGCAGAATTAGGAAAAACCAAAAATCAAATCAAATGCAACAGCTGCTTGCAATTTACATATACAACAAAAATACAATTATATGCATTCAGAATTATTCACGTAGAGAAGAGAATCTAAAATCAAATTTATTAATTTGCTAAAATTTTGAATTCAACTTTTGATTTATTGCTTCCATAAGAGAGACATCCAGTCTCGCTATAAGAAAATATTCAAATACAACAAAATGCAAATCGTAAATTGCTAAAAACAAAACAAAAATCATACAATACATGCCATACCCAAACACATACAATCATAATATTGAAATACCTTCAACATGTAATCCACAAATTGTAATAATCATCGAATCAATCAAAATGGTAATAGTTTTCCAGTTGAAAGTTTCACGAATGTAATTAGCATTTTGCTTTGACAATATTCACACACAGAAACACATACATACATATGTATGTACATGTATGTATTTTATTTCACTATTATTCACAAAGTTTTACCTTCACACACCAACCCCCAAAATATGTAATTGTTGTACATTTGCTAACTGGTATTCTTAGCGTGTAGTTAGCATTTTAAATCAAGCAAATTGCAAGCAAATTCATTGAATCCCCGTGAGCAAAACAACAAAACAAAAAACAGCAAAACCCATAAAGGAAAACAAAAATGCAATTAGTTATTAGCCTGTAGTTTATGTTGGATACGAAAATAATGTCTGTGTAAAATTGCTTTAGTTATTTTTTGATAATTTGTAAAAAGAGATATCGAAACGCTCGACAGTTAGTTTTTTAAATTGTACAAACACCGAAAAAAATAAATACAAAATCCATGGTTGATGATTGTCGAAAAATTTGAGTTGGACAATTGTTGTTGTTGAACCACTCACAAAAGATCTGTTTAAAGTAGCCTGTGCCCTGAAATGTTAAAACCTACTTTTACGGTCGTCCCTACTGAAATGTATAGTTATCTTTGAAGCTACTTAAAGATTAGTGAAGCGTTTATACAGCTCTTGGAAAGAACCTTTTACTAATCCTCTTACCAGATAGATAAGTAACAACAGCAATTGGCCAACTCAACTGACAAGAAACTTTTGTGAACATTTTTGAGCTGAACTTGCGAAAAGTTTAAACAGAAAAAACATGTGAAAAATTCAATTACCAATAATAAAAATGAATATAGCGAAAAATGTACTAAAATTATATATTTATTTATGTATGTTCACATACATTCATAGAGTATCTCTCACAAAACGCAAATAGGTTCCCCCCTTTGCAGTTAGCACGAAAGTCTTTGGATCGAACACCATCTCTGGCAGTGTCCGCTCGCACAACTCCACACGATAGTTCTTGAGTATGTGCAGCAATCCCACTTTGATCTCCAGCTGCCCCAGCAGAGTGCCAATGCAGCCCCTAGGACCGGCACCAAAGGGTAAATACGTCATTGGATGGTGCTGCTGGCGTTGCTCCGACGAGAAGCGTTCCGGATCAAACTTGTTCGGATTTGGCCAGTGCTGCAAATTCATTAAACATAAAGTTTTGGATAACCAAATTATCGTTTAATAGTCGACGTACCTTTGGATCCCGATGGAGTCCCAGAACGGAGATGTACACAGGTGCGCCTGCAGGTAACCTTAAAGCTCTGCCACAGTTCCAAGAAGACAGATCATAACCCTTTTCGTCATTACAGCAACGATCCAGGAATGCAGTGGGAGGGTACAGCCGCAGTACTTCATCAACCACCTGACGGAGGTAGACCAAACCATTCACCGAATCAAAGTTCAGAGGCTGATGCCGGTTGGATCTGAGTGCATCACTGAGTTCATGCCTCAGTCGTCGTTGAATCGTCGGCGCCCTGGCCAGCTCGTACAACGCAAAGGTGATAGTCGATGATGAGGTGTCGAAGCCAGCCAGCAGCAGAAACGATGCCTGGGCGACAAAGAAGTCGGGGCGATGGATTATGCTCGTCGGCGGCTCGGTACGCTTCAACTGCAGAAATATGTCGATCAGATCGTGACGTTTCTCGCCACTCTTTTCGCGTTGGGCCAGTACAAAGTCCATTGACTTTCGCATGAAGCGCTCGTACTCGGCGGAGTAGAGATGGGTGCGAACCAGACGCGACGATCGCGGGAAGAAGAACATTGTGAAGAGATGGAGCAGGCGCTTGGGTCGCGGATCGTTGACCTCGACGCACATACGGCGAAACTCTGCGTCGGGATTTTGCAGACTGTGCGCCTCTAAACCGAAGGCCAGAGAGGCTATGATGTCTGTTGTAAAGAGGGCACACAGCTGCTTGACTTCCAGTTCCATTTCAGATTTGCCATTCAGCTGCCCCTCCATGTGTTCCTCCAGCTGCTGGCCAATGTGCTCCAGCAGACCGTACATCTGACGCACCTTACTCACCGCAAAGAAGGGCGCAAAGATCTTGTGCGTCTCCCTCCACGTCTCGTGCTTGGAAAAAAACAGATTCTGGGCACCCATCGTGTCTCCAATGGGGTCTGTGGTCTCGAAACGGCTCGAAAACTGGGAGAAGTCATCAGCCATAATTCGTTTGATCAGAGCCGGGTCTCTCAGTAGCAGGGCATGGTTGTGGAGCACGTGTATGCCCACGTACGCGTGACCAGCAGCTTCCTTACTCTCGTACAGCTGTCGGAACTGATCCCCGAAGCAGCAGCTGCCGCGCAATAATTGCCAGACATTCCCCACAAAGGGCGTGGCCCGAATAAAGGGAACACCAAGACGTAGCCAGTGACAGAAGTGATGCCGCTGCCACAGCCAAACGATCCCGAGAATGAGCAGTCCAACTGCATGCACCAATGGAGAAACCACAAAAAATAGTAATCCAAAAGCAGAAACAGCCGCTGCACCGAACAATAGACCGCTTACGAGTATCATGATATCATGAGAAATGTCAGAAAAGAACTGTTGTCTGGTTCGCCTGCTAAAGTGAACAAAGCTTTATTGCAGCTGATTGGCGTGGAGCAAAAGCCGCTACAATCAGCAACAGGCCGATAACGATTACGGGTATTACATGAACGGGGCTGCCGACGTGTTCGCCTGTTATTTTGACCTAAGATTAATTCCCCCTGAATTTATAGTCCAACGCCATCAACCCAATGACAGTCATTTAAAAAAATTAAAATGATCAAAAATTAGATTTACTTATGAGTAATAAAAGCCATTCAATTTGTAAAAATAACCGCGTGCTTTTGGGGGGTGGCTTTATTATAAAAGTGTTTAATACTTTCGGGCTGGGATATTCATGTCAAATGTCTAATACAAACAAGGGCTTCCCTAGCATTCCTCGGTGGATGCAAATGATACATGAGGCGTTCCGCTCAGCAGGACATGTATCTCGTCAGGATCGGAGAGAAATGGCGAAGTTATAGAAATTATATCCCTAATCCTAGAAGTCCTTGGCATAAAACTGATTGAAAAGGATCGGAGAAACGGTGGGGTACGCCCAGATCGAATACAAAATGTCCAAGTTAATGCACATTTAAAAATCGCGCTCAGTTTCACGGCAGCCAGCTTTCTGCTGATTTCTGTTGGCCTGGTAATCGGTCTGACAATTTTATAATGTTTGGTTGTCGTACAACATATTTTTATACCCGGTACTCGAAGAGTAAATAGGGTATAGTATTTGTGTATTTGTGCACAAAGTGAATGTATGTAACACACAGAAGGAAACGTTTCCGACTCCATAAAGTATTTATATTCTTGATCAGCATCAATAGCCGAGTCGATTGAGCCATGTCTGTCTGTCCGTCCGTCTTATTGAGCGCCTGGATCTCAGAGACCATAAAAGCTAGAGCCACCAAATTTTGCATCCAGACTTCTGTATGCTCACACTGTTACAAGCAGCAGCCGATCCCGCAAAAGGGCGAAAACCTCCCAAATCTACAAATTTGAAGGTAGGGAATGGCCATATCTATCAGATCACCAAATTGGGATCCGATTGGAACATTATTATAGCCACAATGAAGAAATTAATTTCCAGTGGAAATTCTCTCATTCACACTCTGCTTCTGCTTCACTCGGCCCCAGCCTCTGCCGTTCCCCTGCCTTTGCCTCTGCCGACTTTTAACCCACCCCGTCCCTCAGCTTATATTTGTTGTTTTTGTGTGCGGGCGCTGCCTCTGCGGCGAGTCTGCAGCGTGTGGGTCTAGGGAAGGGCGGCAAGCTAACGGAGCGTGTTGGCGTGAGAAGTGTTGTAGATGTAGATGACAGATGAAGAAAATATTTAAAATTTGACAAACACCGCTAAGGTGCAGATGTGGTACTGAGTGACGGGTATAAAAGTTGTGACGCGTAAGAAGCGTCTCACACGTCCCTTCTCGTCAACAAAAGTTAGTACCGACAGTAGCCGTCGGTGATCATGGGGGCACCACTTTACAAAATGTTCGCACAGTAGAGCCCTCTTGACGGACGGCGAGTTCTCGAAATAAAGTTCTAGTTCTAGTAGTGGCCGTTGCAAAATATCGGAGCACCGCTGTGCGCCTATTTTCTGAGTTTGCATGGTGCCGCCCTCATGATCGACTGCGGCTATTGTTGGAACTAAATTAGATTAGTTCGAGAAACAGTCGGGGATCTTGAGGGAATTTTGGAATTTCTTCCTTTTAAGAGCCAAAAATTATACAATTTTCATACAAATTTCGCTCTATCTCGTCCAGAAGAATGTGCTCGATATCACTGAGTCCTTATAAAGGGACATATTCTCCATTCGTATAATAATTGTTATCTCCGCTATGTGTTGGCCAATCGGGACGTGCGACGGCGACGGCATTTGTAAAAATGTCCTTTACCTGACCGATCTGAAATCGTAAAAATACCCGTGTAGCCCTCACCAAGGATCAACAAATCATTTCAAAAACTTGTAAAATCGTTTGTTTATTTTACACTTAAGTCATAGATTGTAGGCACTATTTGCTGCTCTCGTATAAAAATCTGCCTAATTCGCATTTTGTACAATTCATGCAGCCGAACAATTTGTTAAACTTCTTTGATTAAAATAAAAGACCGAATTAAATAAATTCATATCACGGGCAGCAACAGGAACGGTTAGGAGCCATGCAGATTGGGATGCTGGCCACTTGAGTTCTGTAGGGCTTTTGCCACCTCCTCCTGCAATGTGCTAGGCGGCTCCGACACAATGTCCGTGTGCATGGATAGGTACTTCAATTTGTTCGTAACAGCTAACAGAGGAATATATTTATAAGTGATTGCTTTAGCCAGGGGTTGCTCTACTTACCGGGTCGCAGATCAATAAGTGAGCAGTGCTGATCCACCCAGAGAAAGGCGGTGCGACGCAGCTCATCCAGACTGGCACTCGAGACGGTTGAGGTGTATGAGGCAAGCAGCGGCTCCAAAATGAGACCCAACTGAAAAGGAAAGCGAACATTTGAAATGGTAAACAAAGCAATAGGTTTGCTAGCCACTTACAATCCAGAACTTCCAATCGTTCATCGTATTGTATCGCACATATATCTCGTACAGCTGACGTACATGCTCTGTACCCTGCCTGGTAACCGGAGCTCCATTTGCAGGCAGAATCGAGTGAAGGTGCCTGGGAGGGGGAGTACAAACGATTATAGAGTAACATTTTAAATACCAAAACAAAAAGTTTCTTACGTTAGGGAGTTGTTCAGCTCATCTCTCTCCGTTCGCAGCGCCTCGATCTTGTCCTTGAGGACGTTGCGCTCCTGCCGCAGCTGCTTTATGTGGTCCGCACCCTTCTGCAACATGGCCGCTTTACTCAGCTTGGCATTGGGGTTCTGCTGCAGCTGTGGTATGAGTGCATGCAGCGTGTCGAAGCCATTCTTGATGTTGTAGCGTCGCTTCTGCTCTGCATGTATATGACCGGCACGCCGCTGGGTGTCCCTTGGCTGATACTTTGCAGATGGCGAGAGTGGTGAGCCCTGCGACTCGTGAAACGGCGAGTCCGGCGACACACTCAGGTTGCTGGATCCGCCAAAACTGTGCATTTTACCGAGTCCGCCCGGTGGACTATGCTGGGCGGGATGTGCTGCTATGACCATTGGCAAGGAGGCGGACTTCTTTGGTGAGTGTTGCTGTGCTGGCACGGGCACTGACAATGGCGTTGAGACGGCAGCATAAAGAGCCGGCGACACGTTGATGCTGTTGTTGCTGTTGTTGCTGGTCGTGGCTATGGCACTGCCGGAAGAAGAACTTGACTGTTGCGAGCTATTAGCCACCGCTGACTGCAGGCGTGTATCTAAGGATAAAGGTGAGTACAAAGCATTAGAAACTGGTGTTGGTGTTGGATCTATGTACATTCTCTTAGTGGTACACTTACTCGATGTCAGGAGCTGTGCCAGTGTGCTGTTGAGCATTGGATCGCTGGTGGCTTGCTGCATTTGCTGTGTAACGAGCAGATTGCTGCAACTGTTGGCGCTGGCAGGCGAGCTGCCCGCTCCTGCAGCAGCTACTACCGACTGCTGGTGCATTGAGTTGCTGCGCACTCGGGACTTTCCCTTTGCATGATACTTGGGCACGGCAAAGGGCTGTTCGTGGACTGCGTGCTGGCTGCGGGCTTCGTGGAGTTTGTTTAGCGATACATTCAATGGCAGGCTATTGGAGCGATGGATCTCCTTGGTGGGCAAGACGGTGTTGGGAGTCACCCAAGTGGCGGTGCTGACAGAAGGAGATTGCTGCTGCTGATGTTGCTGTTGTTGCTGCTGCTGCTGCTGCTGCTGTTGGTGCTGTTGTTGCAACAAACTGGCCACAGTGGACTGCTGCTGCTGTTGGTTGTTGTTCACCTGCTGTTGACGCGTCAGCTGCATAAGCTGTTGAGTGCTCAGACCCAAGGGCAGCGACTGCTGCTGATGCATTTGCTGATGCTGCTGATCCTGCTGCAGATATCCCTGTTGTTGTTGCTGCTGCTGCTGTTGTGGCAGTCGTGGCACATTGAGAAATGTCCCTGTTGAGGCGGACTTTTTGAACTGCGGATAGGGCTTGTAGCCGATGGAGTTGTAGCCACCACCGCCGCCGCCATCATTCAGCAGTGACAGCACATCCGCCTGCAGGGGCTCCACCTTGACGCTGAGCTGCTGCTGATGCGCCTGCTGCTGGTAGTTGTCCGTGTAGCTGCTCAAGAAACTCTGATTGTTGAAGGCGTTTGTATGTTGCGTGGGAAAATGTTGTTGCTGCTGCTGCTGTTGCTGTTGTTGCTGCTGCTGTTGCACTGCCTGAAATGTGGCCGCCTGCAACACAACACCTGCAGCCAGATGCTGCTGATTCTTCTGCTGCTCGGCCAGCATCTGCTGATAGATTGTGGTCTGATGGAGCGTCGGCTGTGCCTTGTCATAGTTGTGCGGTTCCCTGCGAAACGGGCGCTGTGTGCTCTTGGCCACACGTCCATTGATCACGCACCGATTGTTGCCATCGTTGTTGCTGTTGACGACCCCAAAGTGCTTGCCACCGTGCACCATGCGACCCGACACGGAGCCCGAATTGTCGCCCATTAGCTGCGTGTCGTTGGCCGACTGCTGTTGCGCCTGTCGCGCCACCGTAAAGCGTTGCTCCAACTCATTATAGGACATCGTATTGAGGGGAGTATTCAGCTCCAGCATATTGGCATCGACATTGCCACCGCCTCCGCCGCCGCCACCACCGCCATCCATCATGCTGTCGTTAATGTAAAGAGTGTGCGGTGCACCCACAATCGCAGGCAAGCAATAGTCATCGTTCTTGAGCATCTCCGCATCGGTTCCCTCCTCCGGAACGGGTGGCAAGCGTGTGGTGGGTAGCAGATCTAAATAAAAGATGGGTTAAGGTGGGGTAAATGTAGCGCTTGTGGCAGTGAGACTAACCTGAGAAGGTAATGTCGATGTCATCTAAATTCGGTTGCAATGGCCCCAAACTGGGTTGAATAAAGTCCGCAATGCCTGCGCCACGTGCTGCACAAAACATAAACACAAACATTAGCTTTCTTTTACTCATTATTTTTGTGTGAGTGTGTTACCAATTTCTCTTGAATCTGGAAAGGGAAATGGTACATTTATGGCCGAGAACAAGGTGTCCGTTGTCCAGTCGTCTGGCATCAAGTTCCTATCGTTCAGTGGTGACCATTCCAGAAAGTCCAATTCGCTCTTCTACAAAAAATATTGGATAGAGAGTCCATTAGCTGATGTTTCAACAGATATTGTTGGTAGATATGGTGGGGTGGGGTGGGGTGGGGTGGGGTGGGGTGGGTTGGTATTTAATATTATAAATTATCCTCCACCTTGCCGTCAGTCTGATGTGCGACTTCACACATGCGGGACGCGTTGCACGACTTGCTGTTGTATCAGCGTCGCCTGGGCATAACAACCATTGATGACAATGGCAATGGCAATGGCAGTGGAAATGGAAAGTACTTCAAACTGAGACCCAATTGGATCACTTTCTCGCTGTTCTGGCTGCTGCACGCCTTCATTGTGGTCACCTTTAGTGTGTTCATCGTATTTTGGGACCACAACTTCGAGGTGACTCACACGGGTGCGGCCAACCACTTTGCCCATGTAACAGAAGTCCTGGAACCACTTTCCATGTCGTGGCTGCTCGTGTGGATGCGACTGCATGAGGATCGCTTGGTGCGGCTGCTAAATCGACTAAAGGCGATGGCCAGCGAGTGCCACAAGGTGGTGACTCTGCCTCGATGGCTCCACCGCTTCTGGTTGATCTTCAGCGTGTGCATCTTCATAGAATGCTGTTTATATGCCTACACATTTTCTAACTTTGATTTGATCAATCTGATGCCACTGGGGACATTCTGGCTGAGGCACATGTACTACAACTATCTGGTCAGCTTCTTTACGGCCATAATCTGTGCAATGGAGCAGATCTTGATGGCACAGCGCCATTGCATCGAGCGCTCATTGAGCTCTGTCAATGAAAAGGAGCTCCTTCGCAGCCTCTTTGCGATCGATGAGATCCTAGTGCTGTGCGAGCTGGACATGAACTACATCTTTGGCGTATCGCTGGCCCTGCAGATGCTCTACACCGTCTTGAGTATGGCCTCCATGGGCTACATGTTCTCCCTACAGTTGTATGAGCTGTGGGAAATTGGTGCTTTCATGTTGTTTATATTTCCAACAATGTTTTACGCTGCAATGCCCTCATGGAGCAGTAGCTTGCAGGTGGAGGTGAGTACAAAACGACCTTTCCTTTCATTTAATTTCATGCGTTCAAGTTCAAGCGTTTATCTATAGTTTCCCTCAACCCTCGCCCCAAAAGATCTCCTATCTATCCGAGCCTTTTGGCGTCAATTTCAATTGCTGTCCAGTCGATTGTCGGGTGCTTCGCAATGCAGATGAAGCTGCAGGACCTTGTGGACATTCTGCGCTTTATGGGGCTCACAAATCTCCGCTGGGACAAGCGACTGGGAAACTTTAGAGCCAGCAACAGCTTGACTTTCCGTGTGATTCGCTGCCTGATCCAGGGTTTGCTCATCTGGAACATTTCCAGTGTGTTTGCCGATTGGCATAACAAAGGTTCCAGCACTTATAGCCTTACTGATGAGTATGTCACGGGTCTCCTGGAACTGGCAGAGCCTGTCACGCTGCTGCTGCAGTTCCTGTGGATGATTGTGATGCAGGACACTCAAATGAGCCACCTAATGGAGGTACAACGGCTGTCCAGGGCTCTCCACACCTGTTCGCCGCTCCTCCCCTCATGGCTGCCCATATCCTGGCTAATTGTCTGCATGTTTTGCGTGCTGCCCAGCCTCTATCTACAAATACTGTGGTTTCAGGTGGTGGAACTAAACGCCCTTCTCCACCTGGCCACATATTTCATCTATAAAGTGATTTGCAACTTTGTGAAAACCTTCTATTTGGCGCTCGTCTATCGAATGTTTCGTATTTTGAGCTGCAGTCGTGGAGAGTTGGCAAAGGCACTCCCCAAACAAAACAACAAGTGCCTCAGGAGAACAGTTTCCCATCATCTGAAGCTCCATGACGACATCTTGCTGCTGTGCGAACGCGATCTAAGTGTCGTGTACGGGGTACCCTTTTGTCTGTACACAATCTACGACATCCTTGAGGGTAGTCTGCTGTTGTTTGATCTCTGGACAAATGAAATTCGTGGCTGCACATTTGTGATCTATGTGAATTGCATATTGTTTATTGTGTTTTATGCATCGATGCCTTTTTGGTACAACAAATTAAACGAAGAGGTGAGTAAGCTCTAACCTTAACCGATCAACTAATACAATTTGTTCGTTGACCTGAGATATAAACCCATCGAGCCATCAGATTTTGTATGTTATTAGTATTGCCAAATGTCAAATATTCTTTTCATACTTGATGGAAATGCTTAGTCAAAGATTTATACGACTTTTGCCACATTTCAAGCCTGTCGATAAACGTTCTAAAAGTTCTGTGAAGTGCGTTTATAATTCATTTAGCAATCAAAACACTGAGTAATTCCTATAGATATTCAACTGGAACTACATTTGATTCGACTTGCCCCACATATTGTGATAAAAGATTACGAACAAGTCTCATTAACCCAAGCCTTAACCCCCAAATGTGGATGGCTGATGGGAACCTCTTGGTTTTTATTTAATTGGAATCAATATTCCCATCAATGAAGCCATGCCATGTCGTCATACCCGGGCAGTTGTTTAGTTCTATGTTTGAATTAGGGCCTAAAACACGCGTCCAAAATGGAGCAGAAGCTCCTGCTGACTTTCCTGCACTATCAACGCTACTTGGGGCTGACAGACCTCGACTATTCCGAGACGGGGCGCGGCTATTGGCTGAATGCTACTTGGTGCTCCTATGGCATACAGTTGTTGGTAGCAGGCACGTTTTTTTCCGCCCTGGTGGCAGCTCTATCGGAGCCCTTGTACTACATCGAGACGAAATCGTCGACGGGCAATATATTCGATAATGCCGTGATGATGACTGCCTCCGTGACGCAGCTGCTGGCCAATCTGTGGTTCCGTTCGCAGCAGCAGACCCAAGTGGCGCTACTCCAGCGTCTGTCCAGAGTCAAGGAGCAGCTGCAGGTGGACACTGAAGCGCTCTCCTCGCCCCGTTGGATGTTTCGCCTGTGGGTCGCCACTTGGTTCTTCTATGGCTACATGGTTGGTGATTATGCGGCCAGCTTTTGGCTCACAACACCGAAACTCAGCCATGCCTTGACCCTGCTGGGCTTTTGCCTACGCATCATGTCGGCCAATTTCCAATTTACTTGCTACAGCGGCATGGTCTGTGTCCTGCAGAGACTCCTCTCTGTTCAGGCGGAAGGACTGAAGATTCTGTTGGCTGCATCTCCAATCTCTTTGGAGGCAGTTGGCCGCAGTTTGCGCATTCACGATGAGATCCTGATGCTGTGTCAAAAAGAGCTGGTGCAAGTCTACGGCGGAGTGCTGCTCTTTCTCTTTCTCTATCAAGTGATGCAATGTGTTTTGATATTCTATGTGAGCACTTTGGAGGGCACGTTTTACCTCGAGGTGATGTTGACCATGAGCGGCTGGCTTTCTCCAATTCTACTATACCTCATTCTGCCATTGATGGTCAACGACGTGAGCAACCAGGTGAGTCCTTCATGCACACTCTCCCTCTAGCGATGCCCATTCTTCGATTGGACAACCAAAACTCTTTCATTAATGAGAAATGATAAATACAAACACTGCTACATTAAGTAATTGCCATTCTGTTGTGCGATGCATCGCCACTTTTCTGTTTGGTTCCTCCGACATTCAGTGAGGAATTTTCAATTGCTAAACGTGCAGCATGGAATTTTCAGTCTTTCGCTTCAACCGAAGCCTAAAACACAATGAAAGTCCTCAAGTTTCTGCACTATCAACGTTATTTGGGACTCTCAGACTTGGCTTATTCCAAACACCAACAGAGATACACCATTCGTGCCACCTGCTGTTCCCATGTGTTGCAGCTCTTTGTGGCAGCGATTTTTGTGTCTGCCTTCGTGGCAGCATTGGGAGAGTCCTTTTACTATATAGAAACGGAATCGTTGACGGGAAATATCTATGATCACGCCGTGATACTAACTGTTTCGATTACCCAACTGCTGGCCAATCTGTGGTTCCGTGTGCACCAGCAGGCCCAAGTGAATCTACTGTGGCAACTCTCAAAACTGATGAGGAAGCTTCAAGTGGACACACTCGACTTGTGGCAGCCACGATGGTTGTACCGCGTGTGGCTGGCGCTGTGCCTTTGGTATGCCTTCATGATTGGCACATTTGGCGCGCACTTGTGGCTCTCCGGCATGCAGCTCTCCCACATCCTGACTCTACTGGCATTTGGCCTGCGTCTTCTCTGTGCCAATTTCCAATTCACTTTGTACAGCAGCATGGTGTGTGTTCTGCAGCGATTCCTCTCTGTCCAAGCGGAACTTCTACGTGTTACACTGTTGGAAACATCGACCATCTCTCTGGATGCAATCGCACAAAGCTTGAGGCTTCACGATGAGATCTTAATGCTGTCCGAAAGTGACTTTGTGCAGGTCTATGGCGGCGTTTTGTTGTTTCTCTTTTTGTATCAAGTCATGGAATGCGTTTTGATATTCTACGTGAGCACCTTGGAGGGCTTTCGTTCGGTGGAGGAGATGACACGAATTTTCTGTTGGATAACGCCAATGCTCATCTACCTCATCCTTCCATTGATGATTAACGATGTGTCCAGTCAGGTGAGTCCTTTTGCGTTTAGTTTACGGAAATCAAAACAGTCCAAAAGAAAACATCATTTGGCTAATGTTAGTTCTGGTTTGTCAGTCTCTGGTTTGTTCACGCCTTAGACTTGATTCAGTCTTTACTTGGTCCTCCTTCGTCATGGAGAACCCTGCGCCTGTGCAACTCTGTGTGTATTATAGAATTTGTCGCTATTTGGGCATCTTCTGCATCGACTACAACATCTCCAAGGAAAGGTATCGGCTGCGTCGCAGCCTCTTCTGCTATGTGGTGCACTTAGCCGTGCAGGCTTATCTCATAGCATGCATTGCCATAATGGTACTATACTGGAACTATGCCTTCAGGGATGAAATGACCAAGACCGGCAACCACTTTGATCGTCTGGTGATGCTCTTGGCCCTGGGCATGCTGCTGGTGCAGAATGCCTGGCTAATATGGCTGCAGGCGCCACATCTACGCATCGTCCGGCAGCTGGAGTTCTATCGCAGGAAGCACCTGCAACGTGTGCAGTTCCGGCTGCCCCAGCGACTCCTCTGGATTATCATCATCTCCAATATGCTGTATCTGTACAACTTTGTGAAGATTTGCTTATTTGAGTGGCTGTCGGATGCCACGCGCATGTTTGTCATCACAGCCCTCGGATTTCCCATCCGCTATTTGGTCACCAGCTTCACAATGGGCACCTACTGCTGCATGGTGCATCTGCTGCGGCATCTCCTGCTCGCCAATCAATCGCAGATTTCCCTCATAGTCACACAGCTGAAGGAACCCAAGCTGAGCGCCACAAATCTCCTGCGACTTCGCGGCTGCCTGGACATGCACGATCGCCTGGTGCTGCTGTGCAACGTGGAGATTAGTCTGGTGTATGGCTTCATCGCCTGGCTCTCCTGGATGTTTGCCTCGCTCGATGTTACTGGTGTCATCTATCTGGCCATGGTGATGCCGTCCATTAGATCTACATTTGTGCGGATAGTCGGCTATCTTGTGTGGCTGACGCCCACATTGATGACCTGTGGCGCCAGTTTCATGAGCAATCGCGTGGCTCTACAGGTATGTTTCTTACTGAGCGTCATGCAGCAGCACCCCTCGGTCCCTTTTCTGCTTTGCTATGGAACTTCTCTCTCCTATTCCCTGATTATTCACAGGACAAACAGTGTACCGACACTGAATGCTTCACAAAACTAATGGGCAGCCCTATCCCCGAACCATATCTAGATCCATCTCCTTATTGATTATTTACTGGGATTCCTTTGTGTCAATGCAGGAATTTCAGTTTGTGATGTACCGTCATGTCCTACGGTGCCGAGTTGCGCGTGTACTTATTCACTCTCAAGTGGCTCGGTCTGCTCTGCATCACCCATGAACCCCACCACGGGTCAGGGAGAACGCATGCCTCGCGTTCTGATGAAACCCGGTCACTGGCAGGACTCGTGTCCTCGCAATGCATTGCTCTGACGGCCCTTGTTCATTTAATTGCCAAACCTGGAGTGCACGGACTACCCATGCACAGTGCTGTGGGGAATATCTATTATTTATTCAACTATGCATTCGGCTGCGTGATGGTGTCGCTGCTCCATCTCTATTTCTATCTACGACGTCGCAGCTTCCTGTCGCTGGTATCACTGCTGCTCCACCATAATCGTGTGCATCTGAAGAACTGCCATGCCAAACAGTTCCTGCGCTTGTTCATGCTGTACGTGAGCCAGGTGCTGCTCACGGGCACGCTGCAGGGGATGGCAATGATTTACACGGACATCGATGCGTTGCACTCGTTTCTGCTGTTCTTTTTCCTGACCTACAGCTATCTGCTGACCGGATTGGTTATCGTGTTCTACAAGTGTCTGGTGCAGATCCTTGCCAGCCTGGTGCTGCTCTACAATCAAGACCTGACGGCTGCCGTGCATTTGTGTGCATCGCAATCCACGACCATGTGTCGCCTCCGTTTGATGCAGCGAAGTCGCCTTCTGTGGGTCTGCCATTATCGTTTGAACTCTGACTTTGGACTTGTCCTAGGGATAATTATGGCATTCCTGCTGTTCTCTGCACCAGCTTCACCCTTCTTCATGGTAACAATTGTCTTTGAGGTCGATGCGAGAATGCTGGGCATGGATCATCTGTTGTATCCTCTGGCAGTAACACTCCTGTGGAATCTACCCATTGTAATGGCCATCCTGACGACATTGCGCACTGATTTGGTTCGCAAAGAGGTGACTAATTAATTTAATTGATAATATAAACATTCAATCCAGTGATTCGAAACTAAACAAACATTGCCCCCAAGAGGTTTCCTTTCAAGGTTCAAGCCTGAGTGAGTGCATTTCAATCGCCATTCATTATTCACTCAATCCCTGGGGTTACTTAGTCACTGAAAGCAGTAACGTTCCTTCTTCAGTGACTCCTTTTTTCCAGTTGATTGCCACACTTCCATGATGTTGCACTCGTTCGGGGACCTGCGGATTCAGCTGCGTACCCTTCGACTCCTAGGAGTCTTCAGATTCCGCACCGACCACGACAAAGGTGTTGTCTCTGCGACGCATGCGGAGGAGCGTGCGGCACGTTTCTATCTATGGAGTGTACTGTGCATCCTCCTAAGCATTCAAACCTACAGCACCTACATGCCGGAACACTTTTTCATGATCAACTACAATTCGACGGGAAACTGCTATGCTCTGATCAACATCCGAACGTGTAATGTGACGACAATTCTCATCTACACAATGCTCTACGTGAGACGTTGCCGTTATGCACGTCTTTTGGAAACAATGTTAAGGCTTCATCGTGTCTCCAGGGATCCCCAATCGGCCACAAAGTTTGGTCTCTTGTACGGCATTCATGTGACGCTCTTTGTGCTCTGCATGATCAACTATTTGCACGGCTACATTCGGGCCCAAGTCCGACCGATCATCATTCCCATCTATCTATTCCAGTATGGATTTTCCTACATGCTCATGGGACAGCTGGTGGTGCTGTTTTTCTGCTTTCAGGGGATACTCCTCTCCAGTTTAAGGTGCTACAATCAAAAGTGGCTCGAGTGTCGTGGGCTGTCACGCGACTGCCGAGAGTTCTATGAGGTGTTTCGTGATTATAATCAGATATTATGGCTCTGTCAAGAGGACATCAATGACTGCTTTGGTCTCCTCCTGCTGCCCATAACCGGATATGTGCTGGTGACAACACCATCGGGTCCTTTCTATCTGATTTCAACGCTCTTCGAGGGCCGCTTCCCTCAGCCTTGGCGCTTTGCTCTCATGCTGTTGACCAGCACATTCTGGAGTATGCCTTGGGTGGCACTGCTGGTGTTCACGATGGGCATCACAAATGTACAAAGGGAGGTGAGTCCCCCTCCATAAAGAGGAGTGCAAGCTTGTATCTAACTAATTAGCTAATATCAAATTGTATTGACATTTGTTGTGGGTAGAAACAACATTGAAATGGCGTATCCATTTCGTTGATTAACTTTAGTTTGTTGCGACATGTCCGTGTGCCGGGACCTGCGACTGTATCTCCGTGTCCTGAATTCCCTCGGCATGATGTGCTGGCAATTCGAGACGGAACAATGTCTGCTCCAAGCCACACCCGAACGGGAACGCTATGCTCTGGTCTATGCTGTAGTGATTCTCTCGGCCACAACGGGTGCCTTTACCTATGCGCATGTGCAGCCCCAACGATTTCACTTAAAGATTTACAATCGCACGGGCAACTTTTACGAGACGGTCATCTTTCGCAGCTCCTGCTTAGTCCTGTGGCTGCTCTATGTGTGCCTCTATCTCAGGCGTCATCGGCATATGGCGTTGGTGCAGTACCTCCTGACAATCAATAGGAAATGTGTGATCGGCAGTGCGGATCGGCAGTTTCTCAACAACTTTATCCTCTACGCCGCTCTGTCAGTCATCAGCTTTGGGAATTACATCAATGGTTATAGCCGTACCGGAACGGATTCAATTGCTCTCGTATTGAGTGTTGTGGTCTACACGTATGCCTTCCTGGTTCTCTGTTTGCTGCTCGTGTTTTTTGTGAGCCTCAAGCAGATCATGGCAGCAGGTCTGACGCACTACAATGCGGAGTTGTACCATGGAATGTCCTTTGATGTGACATCTGTTGTTCCATGTGGCAGAAAGGAGCTTCCTTCGTACCGTAGCAGACAGCAGATTCCTTCGCTAAATTGCAGACAGGAGATTCTGGCATTGTGCGAGGGAGAACTCAACGAATGCTTCGGTCTGCTCATGCTGCCCATTGTGGCGCTGGTGCTGCTCATCTCACCCTCGGGTCCATTTTACCTTATAAGCACTGTACTGGAGGGCAAATATGGCCCAAAACAATATATTCTGATATCTTTGACATCAATTTTCTGGGATGTACCCTGGATGATAATGTTAGTGCTAATGTTGCGCACAAATGGCATAACAGTGGAAGTGAGATTTTAAAACTAAAGCAGTTCTGATGGACTTGCCATGAAATGTAATATATTTTCCATGTTGTTTCTTTCAGGCAAACAAAACGGCAAAGATATTGGCAAAGGTGCCAAGAACTGGCACAGGATTGGATCGAATGGTAAGAGAACAACGAGCAACGCTCTCAATTTCCAACGTACACTTTTATTCCTTCATTCTCCGTTCGTAGATTGAAAAGTTTTTACTCAAGAACCTACGACAGCAGCCCATTCTAACAGCCTATGGATTCTTTGCGCTAGATAAGAGCACTTTGTTCAAGGTAATTCTCCCCCTAGGAATTATAAAATATTTTCCCAGAACTGAATACACAATTTCCCACATTGTTTACAGCTCTTTACGGCTATCTTCACGTACATGGTCATACTGGTGCAGTTCAAGGAAATGGAAAACTCTACAAAATCCATCAATAAATTTTGATAACTTACCGAATCATAGGTTAAGCATCCCGTTGCTTTAGATCTATAGTTTTTGCGCCATTTTCTGTATTCAGCTTTGATAACAGCTGAATGACGTTTCCAGTATTTGCCTTCAAGCACAACGGTCTGTTGTTTTTTTCGGGGTACATATAGAGAGACAGATGTGTGTTGTTAATTATTTAATCACAAGTAAATATTATACATACACATACATACACATAAACTTAATTGCGATTAAAGCTAATCTGCCTACGAGCGTGTCTACTCACAGAGAGAGAGAGGTAATAAATCCCCACATACCTTGCACATTTCAAATGTTTCCCGATGCCGTTTCCTCTTCTGATTTCGATTATAATTACTGACTCTGCTCCTCTCAGCGGTGTGGACCTGATTTGTTTGAAAGAAATTCAACAACAAATAAGCCTAGTCCTGCATAGAGCAATATCTCAAGATACTCTGCGCCATAGAGCTCACTGTTGTTGTTAACTTTTCGCTAACTTGGCCAAATGAAAACAGCTTGTAAAGCGCAGATAAGATAAACCTTTTACTGCGGCTACAGGTACATGGTAAAGTCACGCCCAAAGAGTTCTTTGCGATAAGAAAGTACATAGCCCAAGAGGCAGAGCCAGAGACAGCGGAAGGTATACAAGGAGGCAGTTGGATGTTGTTCAACATCATCAAGTATCAAGTACACACCGACAGCAAGCGCGAAATCACAGCAATGGGAATTATTATTACTATAAAATGGGTGTGTACGGCGAGGCTTTGCCCCTCTCTCACGCTGTATGAAGCAACCCACTCAGGTGCTTTTGAGTGCAGTAGCCCACTCGACAACGAAACAGAGAAACGCTTGTGTTGATAAGCTAATTAGCAGATACTACAGACACACGGTTGTAAGGGGACACACAAGCCCCTGTGACAGGGGACAGCCATTTATTACAAGGAAATAGATACTCTGCTGCATGGAGTGCACTTTGTCTATACATGAGGAAGGTAATTTTTGATCACTCATTCGTGCATCCCGCGTCTCAAATAATAAATCGTAATTGATCGCTTCTCTGAAATGATAACCATCATAAATTGAAAATTCCTAGCACTCCAAATCAGCCATAAATACCCCCCCCCCCCCAAATTGGGACGGAGTTAGTTCGGCACACGACTACGGATGGTGATTTCTGATATTGGGATCTCCTCATGTAGTTATCGCCAGGCACTCCAGTGACCACCTGAAGCCACCCCCAGCGATGATGGGATAGGGAAGACATCACTCGCTCGATGCGTGATCGTCGTAAGATTGTCGTGCGCCATTGACTGGGAGAGAGATATGGCCTGAGAGATATGACTGGGACATGGGACCCCAATGTCAGCGGTCTGTCATCCTACCAGCGTACATCCCGCGGGACCCTCTCTACAGCAGCACGTGATAAGAATGGCGCTGCGGCACGGAATCGCAGATGTATTTTTAGCTATCGTTAACCTATCGTCGGGGCAGGCCATTTTATTTATAGGCTCGATTCATTTAAGTACCCCCCGAATGTACGAGCACAATCTCTTATCACTTATCGTTTTGGCAACTTTTGCTGTACTCAACTCAACAAATTATTGCTTATTGGTTGCGAGATTTGTTCTTGTTTTGTAGCTAATTTGTTTGCGTATGTGCTAACTTGATCGTCGCACTTTTACTTCTACTTCTATAAGTATTGTATACTCAAAGGAAGCGGTTTCAAGCTAATGCAAATGTTTGACTTTTGGTCAGTAGGCGCTAGAAAAAGGGGAATAAGTAATACAGAAACAGCTGGTGATCTAAGCCATTAAGAGTGTTTAGAGTATATTTTGATAAGGAGCAATAGAGCAACCGGAAACATCTTTCAAATTTACTTTACTTTACAACGCGTCATGCGTCAGTGCACATCGGGACAGAACAATTGTGTAAGTAATTAAGAAGTTTTTGATGCGAAAAGGAAATGGGATAACTTGAATGTGTATTAATTGCACATAAATATAAGTTCTACTACCTTCACTCTATTTTACACGGAAAATAAGACTTCATGCTAGTTTGTGTAGAAGGCATGGCAGAAGGACTGGTTTTTTTTTGGAAAACATATTAGGTGTTTATGTGCCTATAAAACAGCACTTAATTTATGCAATAAACCACTTTTCACATTCCAAAGTTCGTGAGCATTTTGAACCATTTCTCTCTGTATAGTTGAAATCAGTATTTTTATCCTGCTGCCAATTTAGCTTATCGATTACCTGATACTCTGCACACATTCCCCCAAACGTATTTTGTGGACACAATTGACATCCACTCCCCACCTGTCCACTGATGTTACTATGACAATTACTTACTTGAGGATTACTGTGTATGTCAACGTCCAGCGGCGATGCGAATTGACACACCGGTGTTCTGCGCTTTTGAATGACTGCAAAAAAGATAAGAAAAAAAACACAGTTTAGTAAGGGAAAAAAAGAAATTAAATAGAAATGCAACAAAAAAATTGATAAGAATCTACAGAGAGATAGCGCATGTTCCCCCCGGTGATGATGACAGAAAAGTGCCACCAACACGTGTGTGCGGTTTTGTGATAGAGGTTTTGTTTCTGTATTTTTGGAGGTGGGAGGGATGTGACGTATCTAAACATTTCACAACAGAACACACAGCAATTAAATCTATATAATTCTCTAAGTTAAATCAACAAGATACAGTTAGAGACGGAGTTACAGTCAGCGACAGAGATTCAGTCACATTTCTAGTAGCAAAGATGCAAAGAGCATGACTGAAAATACTTTTCCATAATAACGAGACAGAGAGTTCGACAATCGGATATAGGGGATGAGAATATGTAATTAAACCCAACTCAGAAATAATTATAATCCGTAAATATAGTAAAGTAAATAACATTTACGCATTTTGTCTTTATTCTTTTAAGCCAAGCAAACCATTGTGATGACATTTTATGTATATATTTATTTTTAGATCTCGGTGAACACATACCCTATAAAACGCAAAAAGTTTTCCACAACAGATAGTGGTATTTCCTAATGTTATGTCTAGAGTTCTTTGACGTATCTGAGTTCAAGATTCATTTGATATGAGAAGCAACAGATATGAAAGTCACACAAAAATTAGGGAAAAAGATTAATTTTTTTGGCTATCAGAATCTTTTAAGAAGGTTGCAAATTAAGAGGAGATCTGCTGACAAGTCACTTAAAATATATTCATAAAAGGTATAGTCACGATTTGTCACGTAATTCAATGAAAGGTTGGAAATGATCTTAAGGTGAAATTGAAGATAAAGCAATGAATAACTGATAGAAACTAGTGATCAAGGATGAGTATATAATTATAATCTATATATTCGACAGACTTGTAAAGAAGTCAAAGACTTTTTGTTCTAAAATCTCCCAGAACTGTGGATAATCTTAAAGAAAAATAGAGAATATAAAAGTTCCCGGAGCATTTTCTTGGGACTTTAAAAGTACGCCACCGAAAATGCGTTGGAACCCCCTAAACAGGGTATTCCTAGTGCTATAAAACATACAGATTATAGGTTGGCAATTATATAGAATCAAGTACTAAATGATATCTGTTGCGGGACTGTTGTAGGTTGTTGTTTCTTATAAATAAACATAAAATTTTCCATTTGCCTTTGTCGTTGCTGTCGCTGTCACTTTTGCTGTCGTTCCGTTGTCGTCTACATCTGGGGTTCGACGATAGAGATAATCGGACGCCCTCTCCTCAATTGTTTGTTGTAAAACGGCGCTGTCCACCTCTCACTCGCACTTTAGACCAATGATGTAACGGAAAATTTTCGAAAATCAAATCAAAATGATTTTGCTCTGGTTTTTGAGAACTTTGTCACTTCTGATACTGATATATCAGCTTGGGGAATGTTTCTTGGTTTGTTTGTTGGAAATGTGTGTGAACAATAGAGGTGCTAATCAATGAGACACTTGAGAGCTCTCTCGGGGCTGGGGCGGCAGCGTTGGCAGCGCCGTCTGCGCCACACTTCAGACTGACTGGCTGACTGACTAGAGCGGGAAAAACTTGAAAAGTATTGCCAGACCAGAGTGTGTGAGCTCCAGACATCAGCGCGGGAATCATATGTTTTTTTGCTGATCCAAATCAAGCAGGGCGCCCAAATACGACCAGAATTTAAATGAAATGACAACAAAAACAACAGCGGCTGGAATCGTGGAAGAGAGACCAGACTTTGATAACGGGACCAAGGCCCTGATAACGCAAAGGCGGTCGGGCGGTCGCCCGCCTGGCAACCTAACTACAAGTACGGACAATAAATGGTGATGTCTGGGTCTGTGTCTGGGTCTGGGTAGAATCCCACTGCCCTAAACCAGTTGACAACTCTACACTCCAGACAGCAACCAACAACAAAAACAACAAAATACAGTAATTCATCTGCCATATCCCTCCCTCCCTGTCTGGCATCCATCGCCCTCTCTGTTTTGCGATCTGGAACGAGAGAGAGAGCAATATTTTTTTTTGTGCTTTGAAAGCTTCACTCTCTTAGACTCTTCTCTTCTCGCTCTTTGATTAGATTGCCCTGCTTCATTCGCCCTCAACTGCTTTGTTTTTGTTTTTATTTGGTTTGTTTTGTTACCGTTGTAACATTTGGCATGCGTCGCCGTTCTCAAGGAAACAAACATTAAATTGGTTTAGAATTATTTTGGAAAATTTTACCAATGCCGACTGCGGTCAAAGGGGAGGGCGGCCACTAACCAATAAACTATAAGGAAAACTTTTCCACGCGTACTATCTCAAGAGCAGTATAGTAGATAGGAACCAAAATGTAATGGGTTGGAGATGGGTGCTAGCTCTTGATTATAAGGTTACATATGTTCTTGAATTTCCTAATATGACAATGATATGAATTACTGATCAGATATGTTGAAATAAATCATGTAAAATTAAATTTTATGGAAAAGCGGTAAAAGGGTAATTCATGATGAATTTAGCTGAATTCCCCATTAAACCATTTCGCATCATTCCCCTTTTGAAATAAAATTGTTTAATATTGATGGGTTTATTTTTCGCCATTTCTACCCGCAAAAGCCCACACAAATTCGTTCCGCAACACAAAAATATTTCGCAACTTAAGAATATTTCAATCTAAATATAGAACTCACATTGCATATGCCAGCAGCGCCAGATGACGTTGTTTAGACGAATTTTGTCCTTCCAACGGAGTCGCACACCCTTGAAGTGATTCCATTTGGGGGAAGTGAGTTTTTGACTGAAAAAAGGCGAATAAAATGATTAGTAAAACTCTTAAGGAAAGTGAGTAACAATTGTTGATAGCCAATGACAATAATCAAAATAGATAAGGGCACTAGAAAATTGTGGGGTAAAACCAATCCAAAAGTGGATTAAATTACTCATGCGCCAAGGGTTCGATCTGGGTTTGATTCATCCTTTCTGTCCTTAATAACTGAGCGAGTAATCAGTTTACAATACAAAAGTCGATTTGTTTATAATTATATAGAAATAAAAAGATTTCAGTTTATAGATAGATACAACCCCTAACCCCTAGAGAGCTGTAATCTATAGGAAATCTGTCGATGTATATAATTCCGCATACAGATAATGCGGGTTCCTGCGAAAAAGTATCATAAATCCCACTTCTCTAATCAAGTATTACCCCCAAAGTCCTTGGTTTTAGCTAGAGAAAAAAACAATGAATGGATACACATCGATATCAATTGTTGTAATAAACAACCCTTCTAATCAATGCGACATATGCGAATGGTGGTTGTTTATTAGTGTTATTGCTGCTGCTGATTCATTCATTCAGTAGGAATTATTAAACAAACATCAGCTGCAGTGGTTCTCTACCCCACCGACATTTGTTGCATTCAAACCACCGCCCCCCATAGGGTAGGCGGGGACACACCACTCCACTCTATCTGATAATACGAGTATCTGTATCTATCGACAGTATCTAATGACGTTGCTTCCTGTTCTACGTTGTGCGAGTGTACGCATGATATAACATTAAACATTGGCACACATCCAGTTTTTGTGATGAGGGAAATTCCATGCCAATGTCTGTGCTGCGTCATCAACCCAAAAGATGAGCCAAATGATTTGATTCCCTCTTGTTCAGCCTGCCGCTCTTTAAAGCATAAATCTTTGAACGTTTTTTTTTTTGGTACTTAACTTTTGGGTTGATGGAATTGTAAATTTTGTTGTGTCTGGATCGAAAAACCAAACGAGTTTTCAAGCCAGTAAAAAAAAAACAGGGTGAGGGCTAACATTTGCTAAAGTTTGGTGGATCTAATAGAACATTTTAAATGTATATTTCGAATATTTTAGGGTATTCCTCTTTCATAAATTCATTCATGATTATAATATTTTTGTGTGTTTTTAATATTCTATCAGAAAAAAAGAGCATCCCATGTTCCCCCTTAAAATTATGAGTCAATCTCTTCCATTCCTCATGTCGAACTCGTTTTTGTGATACCCCTAGTCATAAAATTCGCCCACAGATACCTCGTAGAACAACTATTATAGTAAGATATTTGTTTGTATATTTAGAGTTATTCCCGAAGTCGAACCGAACCACAAGTTGGTGCTACTTGGCGTGCTTCCCCATTTAGTGGGCATGAACCTGTTGCAAGCGAACATTTAATTGAAGCATTTAGCGGTTATAATGTGGAATGCTTTGGGCCACTACCATAACACTAATTAAGTCTTTCTGCGATTCTTCTAATCTGCTGCACTTTTAGACACCTAATCCGGGATTCCTACGAATAGCAGTTGGCTAATCTATCATATTGGGGAGGCCCGTTCCCCTATGTTTTCCGCGAATAACTATACTCTCAACCCACGTAATAAGTTTTGCGCACTATATAATGTATTACCCCACAGCGCAGTTTGTTTCGAAAATAAAACAAAAGTAAAGCAGAATAGAAGTCCTGTGCAAATGCTGGGACGCTGCTGATAAGACAGAACCCTCTATAACGCAATATTCCTACTATCTGGCTGATAACGAGACGTAGGCCCAATAAAATACTCGCCAATACTGCCAAAAGCCAGACAAAAAAAAAACAAACAAAATGCCAAAGTAACCTAAAATATGGGATAGTGGCGGAACGGGACATGGGGTTAAATATAGATCAAACAGACGATGGAATGTACGATGTATGATGATGACTAAAGGCCTAATTGAGACCAGAAATATTTTACGGTGTACCCTGGACGCTGGAATTTCAAAAATGATACGGGAGGATTTACTAACGCCAGACATAGAAATTCTATACCCATTCGAAACGGATACACTATGGCGGGAGAAAGTCTACAGATAACCAATTCAATTTTAATAGATTTCTAAGTGAAGTCATTTAGGAACCTTTTTTGGCGAGGAGTTTCTCAAGGATTTCCATAATGAAACTGTCTTCAAAGGTATTTTTCCATCAAGTTTATTTTAAAAATTCATAAATTTGAGTTATTTATTGCAATTTCTTTCATTCATGGGAGTTTCAACCACGAATTCGTTGTGACTATGTGGCAAGAGTACATTGACTGCGACTCGATTAATAGCTGGTGCGATTTCTTCTGTTTCTGTTGTTACTTTGTGGTACGACGTATCACTTTTGATATCGTATTATTGTGATATTACTCGTATTTTAGCAATTATTGCGTTGACGTTTGCAGAAATGGGAGTACCTCGAACCTGGGCAGACGGCGGATCGACGGCCAAACGCGATTAAGGCGAAGTTTGGGTCCAAAAGAAACCCGAGCAGCAGTCCACCGTGGCAGCGTTGTTGTCCCGCGATTACGCGACCAGAGAGCTGTCCAAGCTCAATTTTGTTTGTGGTTTTTTTTTTGGCCAATTTTGTTATCACGCGGCAAACGCGTGAAACGAAGCAGAGCGGGAAACTATATTTCGCTTTTTCGTGGCTTTTTTGTATGCCCGTGGCACGTGTCGTTGGTGGTGTAAAGGAAGGGGACTGGACTGGACTCACCTGTAGGCCAGATTCATGCACTTGAAGAGCTTGGTGAGTGAAGTTTCGATCTCCAGATGAGAGGTGATCATGCTCATGCTGTTCTCATCGCACTCGTCGTCCATGCGATTGAAGTGATGGCCCACTGTCTGCGGCACGTACAGCTGCACATCGCGACAGGTGTTGGCCGGTGAGCCGGGCTTATCCAAGCTGGGATCCTCGGGATCCAGCATCTTTACCTCGCCATCGTCTTCGAGATCATCTTGAGCCTCCTCGGCCTCAAAGTGTGAGACCATAAACTGGCCCGAGTGGATCGATTCCCGTTCGGCTTTCAGTATGGCCGCCGCCGTTAGATCCGCCGACGTTGGTGAGCATCCAGAGGGTCCTGGTCCATATTGTGGGTGTGGAAACAGCGACTGTTGCTGCTGCTGCTGTTGTTGCAGAAGCAACTGTTGCTGCTGCTGTTGCTGCATCTGTTGTTGCTGCATCTGTTGCTGTTGCAGCTGATGCTGCTGCTGATGGGGAAACATTTGGTTTGTGCGTTGATAGCTCTCGTATTTATTTAGCATCATCTTCAGCAAAAAGGGCAGGAGGAGGGTTTGGTATAGCCTTTCTCTTTAACTGTTTCTAGAGTTTGTTGTGGAACGGGATGCACTGTTGGTTTGCTGAATGTGGAACCTGTGTCCTGGTCCCAACTTTGATCAATTGTGGAACGTGTGTTCTGGGGAAATAACCCTCTCTCTCTCTCTATTGCTTGAGTTTGGGCACACTTAATCGTTTTTTAATGTTTCTCATAGCAATTAACGGTTGTCGCTCGTAGTTTTGGGTATTTTCCATAGCTCTATAAATGGTTTAAGAGATGGTCAGAGATGGGATTAGGATACATAGTTGCTTATTTATTTGAGTTTATATTAATAATAATTTCTGCGCATTTTCATTTGTTTATTAGCACTTTTATTTATATTTCTTAGGTATTGTTTTTACGGCTAATTAACGCTCTTTTTTTTGGTTTATTAAGAAATTCTGATTAAGCCTTCGATTTGTTTGCTATTTTTAAGCGTGTATTTGATTGGCACTTTAACACTTTTTCTAACAGATGGAATATTTAACACTGTTTACGTTTATTCCCTTTGCTCTTATTTTTAGTTACTCTTTTTTCAATTATTTTAACTAATTATTCCCATTCGGTGTCTTAATTTTCACACTGCTTGCGTTTTCAATCTCCTACCACTGCTTGTATCGTAAACACTTGTTAGCTTCTCTTTCTACACAGCTTCCTTTCGTACTGCCAACACTGCTTACTGGTCTTCTTTCTCGCTTTCACACTCCTATCACTGTTTTTCTCTGTGCATCTCTTTTGCACACGTTCTAATGGTAAACACGCCCCGCTTTTTGCCGTTATATGCGTCACAAAACACAATAATAACAATAATCATATACACACGAACACACGCACACACACTCACTATAAAGCAATCGAAGTGGAGGGGGGTAGCACGAACGTCAGTAGCCACCGCGCGGCAATTGCCGATAATGAAAATTCTCAATTACTTCTGTCTACTGCTGCTGCTGCTTGTGCTTCTCCGCAGAATATAAGTCTCCCGTCTCTCGTCAGCACGCGCCCAACGAATTTTAACAAATGAATCGTGTGTGGAGCTCTTGCTGGAGCAATGGGGGCTTTTCCATTTCACGAACGGAACTGATCGCGGCATCGCCAGCGCAGCCAGAAAGAACCGTTTGAAGCTGCTTCTGGAAACCTGTGCGATTGCACACAATCAAAACATTGAACAGCTGACGCGCTTCCCTCTCGTTTCCACACGCGTCTTATCAGCATAGGAATGTGCTGCCAGCGAGAGAACGAGTGAGCGAGAGCAGGCTGGCAGCATATTTGTGGGCGCCAGCGTCGTCCAGAGCACTAATACAGATAACCATAATAGAATTGTTTTCTCATTCCTCCTCCTCTATTTATACCTCTCACAAATCGATTATCAGACTTTAATTTTTAGATCGATTTGATCCATTCGATTCGACCTTGCCCCATAAATGGTGCATTGCGTTTTTGTTTTGGGTACAAGGAGCTTTCTGTTTGGCCAACGTGCACTTTTGACCTCTGTCTCTGCCTCCGTTTTTCATATTCACTCACACACACACGCACATACTCCCGCGCGCACCCATTTTTTGTGGGGGCCAACATTTGGGGGCTCAGCCGTAGAACGCACAAACACGACGAACACGCAATGACGCGGCGCACACGTTTCCCAATGAAGCATGCAGCATTTACGTAGTTTAATTGCAATTTAACACATATTTAATTAAAATGCGAGGAGAAGGCTCTAGGGTTGTCACGCTTTTTCCTTAATAAACAACGCTAAAAAATACCGAAGACGAACGCATTTTTTGAGCTAGAGCTGGCCGAGAATTATCGAGTGTTGTTGAAGTCTTGAAAACTTGCGCAAACCCACTGGTTAGAATTGTTTATTAATTTATTCTTTCAGTCATTTTGTTGTTCTGCTGCACTACAAACTGTATCGATATGTCGCCTTAGCTATCGATAAGAGCCCGCGAATCACGCCACCTGTTGGCGAAGCAGCGACAAGTGTTTTGCGATTACTCGTATTTTTCTGCGTTCCACGTCGTTTTTAATGGGTATCACCATTTCATGTATATTCAACAAAATAGGGTATCGAAACTTTTTTTCAAATTTCCCTTGAGGATTTTCAGGTTTTTTCTCTCTCACTTGAGGGACATTTCTCTCTCGCAACATCCCCACTGACGTATTTTACCGTCGGCAACATATTTTTAAAATACGTATTTCTTGTATTTAAATTTGGTATTCGCCAAAAACACATACCCAAAAAGGCGCCAAGATCAAGATCAATGTTTTGTACCCTAACGACACCAGGTGGAGAAGGAATGAAGTTGAAAGCATTTGCTGCGGCGCACATGGTGTGGTAAGTTGAAGAGTAAAGATAATTATACATACAACAAATTTGAACTGTTTTTTTAACGGGTGCCGATATATGTATACAGACCATAAAAGGGCCAATTAATCAAAACTAGGGACCCGATAAATTTTGAGGTATTAGATGGGGTAGAGGCAGGTCCCTTATAATATAATACTTAATACTCAAAATGTTATATAAAATATAATATTAAATAATACAATTGGAATACAAAATGGAAATAGGGTATAAACATGTCCATACTATACTATACATATTAGTTGACAAGCAACAAATTGTCAAAACGTAAGATATTATTCCCACTCACGTAACGTTTTATGCTAATTTTGTTGGTTGACCTTTTTAGTTTTAAACTTAAGTTGGAAACATTCCAGGGAAAGGAAGTCGTAAAAACTAGCCAATCTTATGGAGAATTGATTGATAAATCGGATCAAATTATACGCCTAGTCCTGAGACTTCTAACCAGCTAGTAAAATCAAATAGAACAACGAAGTCGAGGAATATGATTGTTAAACGGTTATTTGTTACGGTATATTTTGAAAATGCAAGGGTATATTTCCGAGGGTCTGTCGGTACATTTGATCGATAATTATTCCGCGGTCACACTGGTTCCAAATGAGACGCAAAAAGCAACAATTTTTCCTCAAAAAGTTTTCGGCATTTATATTTACGTAAAAATGGCTTTATAGTTTGTGCGCAAGCAACAACAACAAGCACCTAGGTGCCCTAACACAACAACAAAATGGAAACGTATAAAAAGCAAGCGTAAGTACGCCAAAAAAAGCAAAGTCCCGTACATTCCCATACCATAACCCATTTCGCAATTTCGTACATGCACACACACTGCCGCACAGGTGCTGCACATTTTTATTGTTGTCACGGCTGCTGCTGCTGCTGCTGCTGCTGCTGTGTGTGTGTGTGTGTGTGTGTGTGGGGCTTATGTGGTTTCTTAGTTTTCCCCTGAAACGTGGCAAAAACCAATGCACTTGCAGTTGGGGCATGCAACACACACACATGGATTGGCCAAAAGATTGGCTGACGCAATCGCTGGCTGGAATTGAGTCACCTTGCCCCTCTGGCGTTGCATGCGGTTGCAATACAACACGTGTGTTGGTGGCGCGGCGGGAACACATCCCCCCATCAATATTTTTATGTATGAATCACAACTACAGTTGGGTTTGGCTGTGGATAGTTTCAAAGATAAGCAGTTTCCCCAGTTTGTATGTTTTGTTTACCGTGTCCCAGCTTTTCGAACTTTTGTGATGTGGTGTCCAGGATAACTGCTTGCTCTGAAAGCAGTTTTTTAACACTCTGAAGCTGCACTGCTTTTCCCCACTATAGCCAACGCTTCAAGGAGCTTTCCCTCCAAACCAGTTTACACTGTCTATTGCCAAACAAGTGCAGTAATCGCTTTCGCTGTAGCAATGTTTTCCCTCCAAGCTGCTATGCCTTCTGGCAGACAGCTTCGTAGGGCAGGTCCCCCAAACACACTTCTCACCCTTCCTACCCAACAAAAAGATAAGATTTGTCCCTTTAGTGCAACTTAAAGTTTAAGTTCATGTTTGTGTTTCACATATTTCATGGAAATTGCGCAGAGTTGGGGAGTCGTCGTTTGCTTATCAGCATGACTACGCATTCAAACGTCAGAGTGTGTTTTGAACAAAACTATTTAATTCGTCTGGAAAGGGTTGGGGAGGTGCTACACTGTCTGGGGGGCTATCACTCGTACAGTGCAGGTTATACATTTAATGCAATCTCGGGGATTCTAAAGTCTTGAGTGTTTAATCAACTGCACTGTACAGTGCAGGTCATACATTTAGCGCCAAATCATGAAATTTTACTTCTAATTGTTGAATATATATATTATTACAGCGCCACCATGGCATCCTCACGACAACAAGAATCACAGATACAACAACCATACACATTCTACGGACCGGATTTCATCTATTCAAGAACATTTTCTATATCAAGTTTGACATCTGATTTTGACACCCACTATGAACACATCAACATTTCACCAGACAATGGAGAGTTTGGATCTACCGCAGGAGCTGTATTGGGACCTGAAAATGGAGCCCCTGTCCCCAACATCGGCTGCGGTAGCCGCCGATCTGTTTGCGCTCACTGAGTCAACAGATGGAGTGTGGCTCTATGATGATAACTTTGCAAATGGTTTGTCTGCATTTCTACCCTACATGGCATGTTTCTAATGATATTTTGATGGATTCTTAGGCATTTCACTGATGGTAGAGGACGAGGAGGCTCTGGCTCTGGATGAAGAAACCACATTGGATCTATTGGGCAACGAAGAGTTGATTGTGGACCTGAATTATGAAGGCAAGTCTTTGAATTGCAAAAAGATTGCAAGGCAATCTATTATAATATACCAATATTGATCAAACAGCACACACGGCAATGTTGTTGTTCACGTTGTCTTATATAAAAGTTGACTGTTGGTAAATGTTGAAAATTTCCATAAAAATGTAGTTTTTGGTTAGTTATTTCTAAAGATGATAATTCTTGTATGTGTTTCAAATTGTATAGTCCTTGCTCATTTGTTTGTTGAGAGATCTCTATTGAAAAATTGTAACAGACTTAAGCCTTAGTTTAAATATATTCCATAATAGATTTGGTAAACGAGTTGCAGTTTTTGAAGTTCATGTTGAAGAAGTCCATCTGTATTTTCTTGAAGAATAGAATTCATATGATTTTGAATGCAATTGTTAGTTAGAGTAATTTTAAATTGGACAAATTCAATAGAATTTGTATTTAGAATGGAATTCATTTGATTTTAAATGAAACTTTTAGATCTTGGAAATTTCAATTCAAAATATTTTATAGTATTTGTATTTAGTATACAAATCGTTTGATTTCAAATGATATTGTTAGACATTGAAGTGTAGATTATATTCGAAGCAGCAGGAAATGTATTTTCACTATTTGAAACAAGGATGTAAAATCTGTAAGATTTAAAAGAAAGATTGTAAGATTTAAGATTTAAATGAAATTGAATTATTCTCCTATAAACAAAATCAATACACAATGTGAAACATCTAAAGTAGAACAGACAATTTAATCCTATGTATTTAGATTTTACCAATAACTCCATCATACGGTAATATTTGAAGTATTCAAGCCTGGAACGGTTTAAAGTTAGTCAATTAATTTGTAGGGAGGCTTATCCCATAATTATTATTTTTATTGCTTTGATTTCAATTTAGGCTTTAAAATAAAACAATTATCTTCCAGATACAGAAGCTTCTCTTATCAGAAGAATTCACCGCTTATTAACAACGTTCAAAGTTGAAATAAAAACATCGAATAGACACCTTTAGCATAGATATAGAACAGATATTGCCTACGTTTCTTGTACTTATGGATCAACCATAAATTTATGTTTTGTTTTGCTGTAAACCAAATACATTTTATGAATAGCTTCCTCGATTGTTCTCTTATCAGTCCAAAAACAATCGAAAAACAGAAACAGGCACTCATAATATACAAATATAAATAGCAAAAAAGAAAATAAAAACAGCAGGGGAAAAAACCCCAAACAAATTATAAATGCAGTTGAACTTTGAACGTCTGTCTGCAGAAATGGTAGACAGACACATGGCCCCCCCCCGCAACAGCACACATTTTAAATGAACAATTTGGAATATTAATTTTAACTTTTAATACCTACTAGTGGATATATTATATAACATTTCACTTCTTGTATGCCATTGGTGGAGCACACACATAAAGAGGGGGCCCGCCAATCCCAATTT